GTAACGTCACGTAGGTATGATTTCATTTATGTTTAATAGTTATTGCCTTCTGGATTATGAAAGATTGATACTACAATGTCGATTTGTCACCTCATTGAGGTTGCATCAATAGGTACGTTTACTGGCCGTATGCTTCAGCAGGTAAGCGAAGCTCACAAGCTATAATTAATTGTGTTTTTAGTTACTATCATTCCAGGGCATAGAGTGTATAGCACCATGACCTCAATAGTTCAGACACAATCATGCATTTATGTATTTCGTGAAACATTTTAATGGTGCATTTTCCCTCTTGGACCTCCAAGTGTATTATATAAGGTTTACAGTAACAAGTGATTTTCCAGACAAACACACGCACACAAGAGCTTGAGTGATCAGAGGAGCCCTTGCGTAATTTCCTAAAGCCCAGCAACAAGATGCATCGGAAACCAGTGGTAATGTTACAAAATCTTGATCTTTTCCTAAGATGCTACCCCTGGTCCTGTCCTCTTGAGATTAAGTCTCGGGACTGGTCGACGTGCCAGTCCCGTTTATCTAATCAGAATTAATGAAAGAAGTGTCCCAAACCATTTCATCATCATTATCATTAGCCACGATACACTATTGGATGAAGGCATTCCCATACGCCATTACCATCTCTAATGATATTTCAATACAACAATCCATCTGGCTCTTGCACATGAGTTGAATCAAACGCTCGATATCAATAGACACATAGACATTATTAAGCTGGAGGATCCTGATGAGCTATGAAGCTTTTTTGACGTGGAATATGGCAGAGTAAGTTACATAGCCTGAAGGAAGTCACAAAGGTGACGCTCCATCTCCCATGTCCTCTTGGTCTTGTTCGCTCCTTTGGTTGTCACTCTTGTCATTCTCACCCACTGGCCAGTCTCTCTTCTCGTGACGTGGCCTGCCAAAGCCCACTTCAGTCAATATTACGTCTCTAATATGACGCGTCCTGTCCAATTTGAGCCTTAGAAATTATGCACAAGACCCAGCAAGCTGCTGATAACCGATGCAGCTCACGAGGAACCAATGCGGTGAATTCTAAGATATCTATACCCCGGGGCATTATTCATGTCACAATTACTACCATTTTAATAATACTGCTGAAATAATATTCATCATTCGATAATAATATTTATATCACGAAGCCTCAATGCTCTTGTAGAACGACCCTGATAGGGAATATTTGACCAAATTAACTATTTTGATTTAAAGCTTTCGTGACTGCAGGGATTCATCTTCTTGGTTCTTTCGGTAAAGTCACGCAGAAGGGAAATAATAATTTGTATTGTTTTATATTTATATTATTTTATTATTTCCCTTTTGCGTGACTTTACCGAAAGAACCAAGAATACAAATTAACTATTCCAGAATATTTGATGTGTGTGAGACGAAGCAGGATTTCCCAGGAAAAAAAACCCCAACACGCATGACCAGGTCTACTTGCTGTACTCCCGTCCATAAACCAACTTGTCAGTTAAATCCAGGTTCACACTATAAAATTAACGTACAGCCTTGTTTTGTTCACTGCTGGATGAAGGACACGTTATATCACTCGCTACCGATGCTAGCCATTGCCGGGATTCAAACTCGGGTGGGCCCGTTCATAGCGCACGCGGTGTGCTAACGGCTGCGCCTCCGCATCCCCCCAATGGCATCTAACCCTGAATCATAAACAAAGGCCACGCGTCCTCCGCTCGAGCGAAAACACAACACGTGTCGCCTAATGAGCGCGAGCCACGCCGCCTGCTGCAGCAGCAGCGGGCAGCTGTCTCTTGGCGATACACGGCGTTTCGTCTCCGGCATTTCGCTGTTGGCCGCAAACAGTTGTGAACCATCTTCTTATTCTTTGGTTCTTTCGGTAAAGTCACTTTTTAATTTACTTTTATTAATTTTAATTTTTTACCTACGTGACTTTACCGAAAAAACCTAAGAATATGAATCCTTGCAGTCACGAAAGCTTCAAATCTAGAACCATCTTCTTGGTTCTTTCGGTAAAGTCACGTAGAAGGGAAATAATAAAATAATGAAAATAAAACATAATAAAATACAATTCTCACGACGTTTCGGCCACAACGCAAGCAGCCGTCCTCAGGTGAAGAACAGGTCTGTCGGAAAGACAGCGTGGCCGAAACGTCGTGAGAATTGTATTTTATTTTTTATTATTTTATTATTTCCCTTCTACGTGACTTTACCGAAAGAACCAAGAAGAAGAATCCCTGCAGTCACGAAAGCTTTAAATCGAAGTTGTGAACCAGTGAATGTGATCATCATTTGAAATGAGTGGGGGAGGGGGGGATAGCGAGTACCTAGCTCTTCATTTGACCGCATGAGTACCGCGCTACTGCGGCTCAAGTTATGCCGCCTGTGGTGGTACCGATTTCGGCTCTGGCCCATTTACGAGATGGTGGTGGTGGTGCAGTGATGTGTCATCGGACGTGTTTGGTGGGTTACAAAACCCCGTTGCTGAGACCACACGCTACGAGGGAATTAATTACGTCCCAGTGGAATAGCCGTGGGTGGTAGCGGACACACACACACACGTAGTTTACAGGGTCTGTTAAATAACGCCTATTTTAAGGCGAGAGAGGATTAAAACAAGACGTGTCTCATCTCTTTATTTCATGTTGTCGAACAGACTGTTTTGTTCCCATAGACAGACTTGATGCGAATAAAAAAAAACCAGTGGTTTCCTGTTCAAATGAGTACAGCTGCCACTCAACACCACTCTGATGCCATTGGTGGGAATTCATAGGAACGACGGTGGGGTCAAGTCTATCCATAGGAAATCCACCGTCTAAGACTCTAAGCACCACATCACATATATTTGCATTAATCTTACATTAACTGTAATTTTGCGTGTATATAAAAAACTAAAATAGAATTATCTTGATGTTTTATTGATCATACACGGGCGGGGGGTGTGGGTCAAACACGTTGACCCCTCCCTTGCAATTCCGTGAAGTGCCAGGATGCGATATCATAACTTGATGCAAGATTGACCTCTTGACCTCTTGATTGTAACACTGTGCTGACTGCAGCGGCCTCTCTCTCTCTCTCGTTGCTGCGGGGATCACGCAAAGCCATTGTGTAAAACATGCAGCGTCTGTGACGTCTCCACGGCGACTGTGCCAGGCCAGGTGCACTTTGAGGTGCACTAAACAAATGGACAATCTTACGCGTTTCAATCGAAAGATGACGAACAAAAGCAAATTGCAAACGCATTGATTACAAATGTAATACACCCCAATGCTACTCATTGCCTGTCTTCAGATCAATTGTTAAACATGTGTGTGCTGCAACACCACCCATGTATTCATGTCTGCATGCAGGGCCACACATGCATTGCAGATACAAAGCACTTTATTTTTAAACATGAATGCCACAACAACAAACGCAACGCTTCAATTTGTTCGGTTCGTAAATTAGGATGTAATGACCGTCGCCTTCGGAATTATTTTTGACCCAAATTGCTCAAACGTAAGATATCTTTACTGCAACAAAATAATAACACATTCAAAAATTAGATTGATCGAAATAGTTTTTGACTTCACCAGGATCTCAAATGTGCTGAGTTGATGACCTCAACCCGGTCGCCAATGACTGTACAAGCAACCCCAACACGTACATTTTTGCTTCTTGAATTAATTTGCCTCAATTGCTTTGCCCGTCGTGACAAACATCACTCTCATATTTCAGGGCTGGCGGGAAAGTGATGCCCCCCGTCTACTGAATGGACGTAGTGACTTGAAGGGAACTCAGAGGTAGCTCTGCAGTGTCCGCTTGCGTGGGCCATTCTCGATCACGAAGGGCTTGCACTGCTGCGTGAGATTCATGGTCTCGTCACGTGACACCCATAGCCCATCGAACACAATATTTGCAGAACAAAACACCGGTACAGATCCGTCTCGCTGGGGCTGAGGTTTATAAGCAGATAAAAGGTGGGATAAGCGAACATCAATAGAAAACGTCAGTTGCACCGTGCAACACAAATGAGTAACTGGACTAAAGTGAAGAACAATAACTTCCTTGAACGGGGGAAAAGGCTGGACTGTTCTTCGGAAGGGAATGTACGTGACATTAAGTGCGTGACTCATTTATGAAAATCTGCAGATAATTAGTTTGGTTTATTCAGTTTTTGGAACCAGCTGGCCAGTATTGGGCAAAAACTTATCACGCGACTTTTCACCCAGGCACCTGGAGAGCACAGACGAAGTCTTTCTAACCCAACATTACAAACAACAATCATAATTTAGAATCAATCACTTGCAACGTGAACAAATACGACATTTTGTATTCACCCCGATCGCACGGACTTAATATAACGGCGAGGGTGTACATGCAGCTGCCAGGCAGCAGCAGCAACAGCTCTCTGCCCTGCACAGCAATGTCACCACGGCGCGCTTGTGCCAGGCTAGGTGCACCTTGAGGCCACGTGAACTGTCGAAGGCTCACTGACAGGAGCGTCACGGAACAGACCCAGGTGCCCATGGGCTGACTGACCGAGATGTACGCACGCCGAACTTCTTTCGCATCGTACGTAGCCAACCGCGCCAGTAGGAGGTGCGAAATGATGACGACCGGTAGGAAGGCACCAGCTCCACTCCCCACCACCGTGCCCACTTGCGTTCCGCTCGTTGTTGTGCACACAACCGCCCCACACAGCCACACGTACCAGCTCATGCACGCGGCTACCTCCGCCCCCTCCACCACCAGCCCTCCTTATCCCCGTGTGTGCAATTGCCGAGCCTGCAACCTCCATGCATCATTTATAAAGGGAGAGTGGTGGGGTGGGGGAGCAGTGGTGGTTGCTAGCCCAGTGGGAGGCCCTAAGCAGAAAATCTTTTTCAGGTCTCTCCTCCATTTCCGTTGGTCGCATCCCTCGTGCGTGACAGAAGCGATGCAGACACAAGAGAACGCCCATGCAGGCAGGGGAGAGAGCAACAGATGAAATAACTGTACGGTGGTCTGAGAGAAGATACGGGCAGACAAGATCGTGATGAGGCATTTATTGGCTTTATAAAACCATAATCAGCTTACGTTGTTTTTTCGGTTTTTGATTATAAACATATGAAGATGAGATAAGGGAGATACAACCAAGACAGGAATGTGAGATGTGCATTGCTTTTCTTGCATTCGAATTAACGTCGACATTTATTGGGAGTCGAATTCGAGGTGTTCTTTGATGGATCGTTCTTTCTTTATTCGTGAATCCGGGGGCCCCATTGAGCCACTTGGATGCCCGAGCCAATGTTTGCCGCAGTTTCCCCAGTGCTGTGCCACCGATGCGAGTTGCTCCCTCCCAGAGGCGCTGCTGTACATAGAGATGAGTGCTGGCAAAAAAAACCCAACAACTACCACCGAGATGCGCAGACAGATCGAGGGACGCCCACTGCGTGTGTGTGTCTGTGTTACCGCGCGTTTAACTCCTTTCACACACCGTAACGTGGCCAAATCGTGCTAACCGGAGGTCTTTCAAAACAGCTGCCGACTGACTTAATTCTGATTCACCGACAAACCGCTGAGAACGCGAACGCTCCTGCGTGATTTTTTTAAACGTAGAACCCAGGGGGGGGGGGCTTAATTTCAGCTCGAGTTATCTGGGGTTGGTGTCTGGAAAATATCCCACGAAAAACGAATCCCTCGTGCAGCTGTCGTTTAGGATCTAATTGTTGGATAAAAAATATATATAATTCATCATTGCGGTTGCCAATGTTCGTATTTAATGAACTTTGCTCAAATGTTAATCGTGTGTGCATGTAAAAAGGTGAAGGTGCGGCCCTGCAATTCCTTGCTCAACCCACTGCCGGTGGAAGGACCTCCGCCAGAGCGACCTCTGGAGGGCATTTGGCCTACTCTTCCACGCTGACTACACGTGTTGGAATAGGTGGACGTACCCACACTTTACCCCACCGCACGCGACCTGCTGTGGCGTAAACCCGTTTATACTGCTGGGTGGACGGTGTCGGAGGAAATCAAGAATCTTGTCCATATTTGAACTGCTGCAACAGAAGATGGAATTGAACCGGCGTCCTCTGGATTGCAAGTACACTACGGTGTCCTGACCCATCACACCGCTGTGGCAGCGTCCTGTGTCTGAAATCAATGTATGGATTGTAGATGTAAACAGGGTTGTATAATCTTCTTGGTTCTTTCGGTAAAGTCACGTAGAAGGGAAGTAATAAAATAATAAAAATAAAACATAATAATGTATGTCAATGGAAAACAAGGGTGTATCATTTATGTGAGAATGGTTAACAGCTTGATTTACATCATTGCAGGACTTGAGCCGTATATTGAAGTCATCATATCCAGTGACCGTTGCGGTTAATCATCAGTCAATTACATGTTTCACAAACATATTCAGTGGAATGTAATGTAAACATTTTCCAAGATGATATCCTTATTGATTTTATTCATTGCAAAAAAACTAAAATAAAACGCGCATTAAAGGCACTTTGATGAGGGTTTCAGCAGCAGTTAATAAGTTGCCCGTTTAACAATTATTTCAAACGCAGTACAACCAAAAACAGTGTTGGGGCTTCTGGGTTGAATGACATAAGCTACGAATATGAGGTCAGAATGCTGGCAGACAAGTTGCTGGCTTTTGCGAAGCAAAACACACACACTCTCCTCCTCCGTATCAGTGACCACTTGCCTACCGCTCCGTGTCTCTGCAGGGGAACGGTTAAGTCCGGTGGGCGTAGCGTGCTTGGCACGGGCCCTGGTGCAAGAAATGAAATGCAATGTGGTGCTGCGTCCAATTTTGATCTTCGTAACCCGGCGCCCGGACTCCTCCAGGCCTGGCAGACCCTGGCGCGGTTGCAACGTCCGCGCGCTCGATAGCCGCACCATCGGTTTGTCACGGCGCTCGTGGGCGTGGGTGCTCGAGGCTGGAACCGGCCTCCTCCCTTTCGACTCGGCTCTGACGAGACGCTCACCAGTAGGTGAGGAGGGTGAGCGTGCCTGGCGCTTCTGGGGAGGCTATCACCACGGCGGTTTCGCTCACCCACATGCGGTGGAGCAGCGACGGGTTCCTGTGCACCACGTTCAGCAGGCGGCCATTCTGTGAACCGAGACAAGCGGTACGTACGGTGATGATTCAGGTTTCGCCAACGTGCACGATCCACCAAGCCTCGCCTGTCAAGTGCTGGCGAACGGGGCGCTTGCCACCGTGTCTGGCTCAAATGCAAAGATCCTCAGTTCATCCGCAAAAGCGCTCACTGTGGGCACCCATGAAATATCGCCTCGAACGAGAGGGGTAGGAATGCCGTGTGGGTGTAGCCTGGTTGTACGGGTGTTGTTATGGGTGTTAGTGCGAGGAAAGCGATGGGGTCCACGTGTCCATTAGCCCCTCTTCGTAGCCCTGTGGCCTGACCCCTCCAGCCAGAGCAGTTGCACCGCCTGCACACTCGAAAGCGCCCTGAGAAAGATTGTTTCAGGGCACTTTATGAATGTAAATTATGAAATTATGATAATAAAATTTTTAATTATTGCAACACTACTGGAGACATGTGCATTACCATGCAATCATGATGATAATGATGATCAGGGCGTGTATTTACAGGTGTTCTCTTTAACATGCCTCGGCAATAAAAAAAAAATGCTTTACACCACATCGCCATCTCAACCATTACAATCACCCTGTGCAGAGTAGCCGAGGGGACCCCGAGTGGCAGCTGTCCCAGTGTGGCACAGGTTGTACGTAGGTTGCACGCAGCACCGGTCCGTCAGTATGAATCTACGTTGCTATTGTTTTTACTGCCAATTAAGTAATTTGCGAGTAATTTATCAAAATGTCACGACCAACGTCGTGACCCATAACGCCCTGCACGAACGGCCCAGCCGTGGAATCTCGTGGGATCTTTAACGTCCACCATGTCCCCCCCCTTCACTCGGCCGTGTCGCATCGAACGTGCGCTGCTGTTTGCGGATTTCATGTTCCGCCCTTCGTTCAGTAAACCAGCGCTTTGTATCAGACTCTTGTTGAAGTGTAACAACAATCTTTTAAATGTCCACTATGAAGCAGACGTCACATAGTATTTGACACGTGGCTCTCACCTTCACGTCCCAGACGACGATCTTCTTGCGGTTGCCGCCACTGACGAGCCGGTCACGGAGGAGGTGCAGGCACAGCACCACCCCCACGTGCTCGCGCAGAGTGAAGAGGCAGCGCCCTGCGCGCAGACGCGTCACGCGCCCGGTTGTCACGCTCGCGGTCGTCAGCACCAGCACCAGCAATACCAGACAGCGGCAGTAACGCCGTCAGCGATACCGACAGCAGAGGCGGCACCAAAAATGCCAACAGCAGCAACGGCAAGAATAATACCAGAATAATAATAGCAGCAGCAACAAGAATACCAGAATAAACACATTCATGCGGAGGGAGCTGGTAGGAACGTTGGGTTGCTCGGTCAATGGCCAGGGTCAACGGCGGCGTGGTGTATTCTGCAAATATGCCCGACTGTGAGGGCGGGCACAAGCCGGCGTGAGTAGGTTAAACATTGAGTTTTATAAGGGCACCACGGCGTGACCAGCCCCACCCTCCCCACCCTACCCCACCCCTCCCAGCCCCTCCCCACCCTCCCCTCCCAGTCCCACCCTCCCCACCCAGCCCCTCCCCACCCTCCCCTCCCCACCATACCCCTCCACACCCTCCCCTCCCCACCTAGCCCCTCCCTCCCCACCCAGCCCCTCCCTGCACGACAGACACAATAATCCCCTGTGGGCTGGTGTAACCAGGAGGTTCCTACCAGTATAATAATAATAGCAGCAGCGGCAAGATCAGCCAGTGGCTCCCTTTATAAATTGTCTCATTGGTGTCATGCTATGAAACAAATGTACTGTGTTTCTTCTTCTTGGTTCTTTCGGTAAAGTCACGTAGAAGGGAAATAATAAAATAATAAAAATATAACATAATGAGATGAATCCCTGCAGTCACGAAAGCTTTAAATCGAAATGTACTGTGTTTCTGTTATGAACTCTCACGGCGAGCAGTGCACCACCCTGTGTTGGAGCACAACTCGGGTGTATGAGATAAGAAGGCTCCTTCTGAAGTCACTTTCATTGACCTCTTAATCTCGTCACGTGCCAGTGAAGCCAACATTTTCAATTCTCATAGCTGGACCCAGCCAACATCACGTATAACATGACGGATACTTTTTTTTAGAATTCATCGCTGACCATGCTGACACTGTCAGCTCACCCCACGTGAGAACCTCGTTTCGTTGTAGGCGGCTCCCAGGATTTCGACCCAGGAACCCAGCGGTGCCAGCTCGGTGCTCTGACGTGCCCAACTCACATGACTGCCTCCTGTCAGTGGGGTTCCCAATGGGTATGGCCACCTTCTGCTAGAAATAAAAAAATACCCTCGAAATAGCCAGAGTTGACATCTACCTGGCACATTTCTTCATGTTTCCAGACGTGGTTATCGTAACTTTGGCACGCCGAGTACACACATTGCGTGTCTGCCAGCTATCTCATTCAGTTAACCCAGGGGTCGGCAACCAAAATATATATTTTTTTTAATATTTCAAGAGCCGCAATGAATATGAATACCAGACGGTGGTTGTGCATAAATAACGTCACCAAGAAGTCCTTAAAGAGCCGCTCGCGGCGCTGGATCCGCGGGTTGCCAACGACCTCTGAGCTAGCTCAAAAGCACCTGGGTCTGCCGCGTGGCCTCCTGCCAGCCGGCCTTCGACATTTCACGTGGCCTCAAAGCCTGGGGGAGGCGCTGTGGTGTTGTCACCGCTACTTAAGTGGCGAACGGCGGCGGTGGCGAGCGTTGGAAACGCGTCCGTGGCTTTGCTGCAGGCAACAAGGTGGTGATGCCACACGCTATCGAGTCTCGCGCGGGCAAATCCCAGCACGTCCGTGTTCTCAGTGGCTCCACCTGAAAAAATAACTCCCGCATTGGTGGCGCTACCCCCATTAAAACAAAAACCCAAATCCTGTTGAGGTGACAGAAGACAAACTGATAGTGGAGATGGAGACCAAAAAACGATGATAGAAATGAAGTGACTCGTTATGTTAATAAGATTTGTGTTTTAGAAGATGTGAATTTTAGATTATAAATTTTAAGGACTCTGGGTGTCCCTCGCACTACCTGGGGCCCTACGCCCAGCACCTCTCGTGCTCTCCATCCACATTGGTTATTGAAGAAGTTTCTCTGTGTGCCTATGTATGTGTCTCTCTCCATGTATCTCTGTGATATCTGTCTCTACTTATATGTCTGTCTATATGTCTCTGGTTCTGTGTTTTATCTCTCTCTCAAATTTAGCATTCTCAGGAAGAACGTAATCAACCAGGTAGGGTGTTGACTGTTATGTTATCCGACTCTCTGTTGTATTACATTACATTTCTAAGTATACTAGATTTGTGTTTCTATTTCATTTATACCTGATGATGATTGCTTGTGTTGCAATCGAAACGTCGTAAGCTAGTATTTAATTTATTATTTTCTCTTTGTATGTGACTTTACCGAAAGAACCAACGAGTATTGAAGAAGCATAATTAATTCAGCACAGCGCCTAGCGATGTCTGCCAGAGAGACTGCTCTTGAGGTCCGTTGGCATTTCTTTTCTTTATAAATGAGTTTAATTCCGTCGCTCCCTGTGTTCCGTTTCTCCAAATAAGCACTGAGATTAGCAGTGGAATAGCGGTGTTCTCATGGAATAATAATAATAATGTACAGACCCATCGTCAATCCACTTCTGAATGAAAGCCTCTCCGTGTCATGATGATTATGGTGGTTGTTGACTCATACTTCACTGCGCTGATCAGTGAGTAAAAAGGAGGCCCAGGACCATATCACTGATGTTCGCCTTTGGCCAGGTGTCAAACTCAGATCACCGATTTTATAACGCAGGACGCATAACCACAATGCCACCGCTCCACTCAAAATGTTTTAAGCAGCTCGATGCATGAAGCAGCTCGTGTAAAACACAAATTAATTGTTGTTATTGCCTTATACAGCTGACCACTGGTACGAGGCTCAGTGAGCAAACTGTGATTGGCACAGCAGCATATGTGGCTCAAGTGCAATGGAGTGAGTGATTCTAGAGTAGAATGTAATCGCACATGCCTAGACTTAAAAGTGTGTGTGCTCCAACCTCTTACAATACACTCCCACCTCTTCAAATACATCTGGCCAGTGTGGGAGAGGAGGCCAAATGACCCTCTAGTCTACAGGGAGGTCATCTCTGGAGCTCCCTCTAGTGGAGGCCCTTCCGCCAGCAGCGTCGTGAGCCAGACAATGCAGGGCTGCACCTTTCACTTTTTAATTTACGTTACCATTATATTCTTGGTTCTGTCCGTAAAGTCACGTAGAAGTGAAATAATAAAATAATAAACGTCGTGAGAAATTTGCATTATTATTTTATTATTTCCCTTCTAAGTGACTTTACCGAAAGAACCAATAACATGAATCCCTGCAGTCACGAAAGCTTTAAATCGAAATTTACGTTACCATTCTTACACGCTTATAATTGTGACAATTCATTGAATCGTGAGAGGGATGAATCACGGACTGCTCGCTGCACGACGCCCGCCATCTCCTCCATGCCGCGTTGGAAGCGCAAAGATGAGACGCTGCGCCGCCGACACTTTTGGGGACGTCGCCTTCGCCGTGGCGCCTGTTTGATGTCGACCTGCAACCCCTACAGTCGTAGCGGCTGCTGATCACAACGAGGCAGCGACGCGGCCAAATGAATAAAACACAAAAAGGTCACGGCAGGGAGGCCCCTCGGCCTTTTCCGTTTGACCGTCTTCGTGATGAAGGCTCGTCTGATGAGGTTTGACTGACACGCGTTAATTTGTTTGGCCCTTTTCATCCAGAGGCGTATGATGTGAAATAAAGCAGCCGGGTGACTTTTTTTCTTTCGAATGCAGACAGATGTTGTTGTTGTGGTTAACGCATCGTTATCACCGCCATCATCATCATAGCGTCGTTTTGCAAATGGATGAAGTGTTAACGCAGAGTGGCGATTTGGGCGGCTTTTGTTGCCGTGTGTGCAGGTACAGACCTTGAAAATTCCACACCCGGACGGAGCTGTCGGCAGATCCGGAACAGATGACATTTTCATTGTAGGCGACGCAGTACTGTGAAAAACCAAGAGGCACACGTGACTTTGAAATTCTGATTAAAGTCCAGAAGCACGACCGTGAATTTTGCATGCCTGGCCACCAAACGAGCGGTTCTTTGAAATGGTAATGTCCTCATTTATTCCACCCAATGTTACTGCAAAGGTAAAGGGGCAGGCCTGCAAACACCACACGCCGCCTGCCAATCGGCTGCTAGGCATGTAACGATGCAGTCGATAAATAAAATATTTTCATGCTCGCGTTACACGTACCGAAGTGTGTTCGTGTTCACGCTTGATTACTAACCCAAAACGTACCAATTAGATGCCTACCAGGCACCCAACAATACATCGGGCTCAATCCTTGCACTCGCCATACATATGCATCAATTTGTTTGCTGGAGAACAAATGATGTTATGATTTATGCCGAATATATGGAAATTAATGTGGAAGAATAGGTTGCAATAGGGTATAGAAGAGGCCCTCTAGAGCTCCCTCTAGTGGAGACCCTTCTTCCAGCAGTGGCGTGAGCTTACAGTTGCAGGGATATGATACTCCGCAGGTCTCTCTTGCAGAGCGGCCTATGGCTGAGTGTTACTCAGCCGCGTTTCCAAATAGAACTGAACTGTTAATCAAATCGCCAGGGCAGGGTGTGTGTGTGTGTGTGTGAATCAATACAAGTCTGCTTCATGAACAAACAGCTTTGTATCCATGGCACACACCACGGGAAGGAAAAGTCAGAGTCAAGGATGTTATGAATGGGCAAAGGGGACGGGAGAGGGAAGAGAGAAGAGAAAGAATGGGAAATGAGATGAAACGGATGGAAAAAGAACAGAAAAAAACTGGAGCAAAGGTCAGAAAATATGGGGACAGGGAGAGGCTGCACAAGGACATCTACGCTGCACGGTGCAGCGTCTCGATTTAAAGCTTTCGTGACTGCAGGGATTCATCTTCTTGGTTCTTTCGGTAAAGTCACGTAGAAGGAAAATAATAAAATAATAAAAATAAAACATAATCAAATAATTCTCACGACGTTTTGGCCACAACGCAAGCAGCCGTCTTCAGGTGGAGAACAGGTCTGAAGACGGCTGCTTGCGTTGTGGCCAAAACGTCGTGAGAATTATTTTATTATGTTTTAGTTTTATTATTTTATTATTTTCCTTCTACATGACTTTACCGAAAGAACCAAGAAGGTGCAGCGTCTGTTTTCACAGCGGGCGGTGGGGAGAGGGGAAGGGATTGAGAGTGGGGATAGCCACACCAGAGGTCGCAACCGGGTACCCGATACCCGTACCCTACCCGATACCCGGTTACCCGGGTACGGGTAGCTGTTTGTGACCCTGGTGCGGCCGGGTACGGGTACCCATTTGCGACTCTGGTGCGGCCGGGTACGGGTAAGGAATCAAAACCCGTTTGCGACCTCTGAGCCACACATCTCAGCTGATATACGGGAGGCTTGAGCCGTTTAGGATATGAGAGATGAGCTCATCTGTGCCACACCGACGCCGCCGCTCACCACCTCCTCCGTGTGTCCCGTGCACGTGGCCAGGCGCTCCCCACTCGCGGTGCTCCACACCACAACGAGGCCATCGCCCCCGCCGCTCACCACGCGTGCCACGTCGAACTGGCAGCAGTACACCGCTGCGGACAGGCGCAGCAGCGCAGTCTTTTCATAATATTCAACACGGAGGCTTTCCCGACCAATGTTATCCGTAACAAAGAGTTTTTTTGGGTTAGATTGCGTAAATATGAATATGTCGTTAAACCTGCCACCACCCGACGCAGCCAAAAAAAATGCTTTTTATTATACATTTTTAAAATAATTTTTACTTAAAACTTTCGTGACTGCAGGAATTCATATTCAATGGTTCTTTCGGTAAAGTCACGTAGATAGAAAATAAAAGAAAAAAATATAAATTATTTCTAAAAAAATATTAAAACCAAAAAACTCACGACGTTTCGATGCTGTTCGGCCCCTATTCCCAGTCCCTGCATGTCTCAAGCGTGTTGGCCCTGGCTTAAGCGAGCCGGCTCAACGAAGCCACGCTCAACCTTGAGCCGGCTCTGAGCATGGTCCCCAGCCAGACTCAGGATTTCCGTGAGCTGAGAGTGAGCGAGCCGTGGCTGAGCCACCGCTCGCTCACGTATCTCTGAAAGCAACTGGGCGGCTCAGGACTGAGCCGAGCCAGAGCCGAGCCACGACTGGGAATACGGCCCTGTTAGAGCCAACCTACAGGGTGCAGTTTTGCTCTCGATGAAGACAAAACCCTATTGTGGGTTATTTATTTAAATGATTGTTCGTAATATTTCACTACATTTGGTATTTGCGCCATTCCCATAGGGCAAGGCCATCACGGAGGCGCTACGCTTCACAGACGAGTTTAGTTTGAGAGCAGGGGGCGATGTTGTTTTGTGGTTTTACCCAATTCATTAATTTTCCGAGTACAATAGAACCCCTCATAACGATCGCCGCCTGTTAACGACTAATCTCTTAACGACGGGCCTCCCTAGAACACAATGTGTTCGCTTACCGACCATTCCCCTGTTAACGACGGACTTAAGACGAACAAGCGACCGCCAATTTCGGCCAATCGGCGAGCTCCAAAGTGGTCTGATCAGGCCTCGGCCAATCAGCAACGTTCATTCATGAGCATTGGGGTATTGTTTAAATTTAGTGTCTGCAGCACTTTGAAGTTGAAACATAAACTCGCTTAACGACCAAATCACTTAACAGTTTCGTTAAACCAGTTACCGTTGATAAGAGGGCTTCTACCGTATTTCATTTTTTGGCACTAGCCTACTCATGATATATCATGGTATCTGAGCAGACAAGGGGCAATTCATGGTAAATACACCCACAACATTGAGGCCTCACCATGCTGTGTCAATCAAGGGGGTGTGTTGACCATATTTCACCATGTGGGTTGAAGAGGGTGCTCAAGAAAGGTTAAAATTTCACTCGCCACTGATGTTCGCCATGGCCAGGAATTGAACTCGGGATAGCAGGTTCAAAGCACAATGCGTGAACCACTGCGCCACCACTTTCCCAATATAGCCATGACATATACACTGCACACGACGTGAGATGTGTCATCTGCAGCAGTGGCCACACTATTTAATTCTGTTATGATAGCTTTGGAAAAAGGAACTCATGTGGATCCTATTGCCAATGTCTCACTGGAGTCATATACAGAGTGGTCTTGGTACCGAAGCCCAATGTTTAATATTTAACATCGCCCTGCTGTCATTTATTCATTTCTTTAGCATTTTTTGAAGTGGCAATTTTCTCCGACTCATATTATCAGGCTCAACGGAGGGGTTTCTGGCTCGGTGCCGTGCAAGATGACGTCAATGCTTTTTAACACCTGGGTTAGATGTGATCACATTCGGCCAAGAACTGCTACCCTGGGGATTGAATTTGAAATGCAACAGTTGGTGAGCCGAATTGTAATTGAGCTCAGAGGTATTATAAAACCCGGAATGTTGTTGTTCTTGTTGGGGTATTCTCTGGCGATTTAAATCAGCTACAACACAATGTGTGTGGGTCTATCCACTGCTGGATGAGGGCCTCCCCGCGCCGTATGGGTCGTGGTGATTAATCCGACCATACTTCATAGTGCTGGTCAGGGCGGGCTGGGGAACGTGGATATTCGTATGATCATATTGGCGGCACACCGGTGGTTGACGGTATATATTTTTTAAAAAGCTACATTTTCGCACTCAATCATTTATTTTCCCGCGATTTGCAAACCCGGTCAGAACATCTTGAGGTGTGGTGGTGCGAGTCAAAATCAGTTCTGGTGATGTCAAAGCAGCCGGAAGACAAATCTTTATATGAGCGGCTGAACACGAAGAAGCTTCAAAGTCTGTTGCCGTATAGCAGCACCCAGCCTGATGACGATTGGCTGGCTACGTGTTCCAAAGGCAGATTTGATTCTTCGCGCCTTAAACTTGGTCGAACGGTTCCTCCATTCAACGGACCAAAATCAACGGCCAATATTGACCATTTTTTCGCAAGTCTCAGTAGACTGAATAAACCTTTGAATCGTCAAACCTGTCGACAGGGTCAATTAAAGACTGATAAATAGATGTGCTGATTAAAAATTTATATTTTAGACTGTTTTATGAGGACCGGTGTGTTATGCTGCACCGGTGTACCACCAATACATCCATGTATACGGGAACATTGAATTACAGTACAACAATGGATTTTGCTGCAAGGCCCTCTGTTGATGTTACATTGCAAAAGTCCCGCAGCAGAGCATGCCAACCTGGCGTGCATGGTGGTCACCCAGCCTCATAACATTCTGGCTGGCTTACGCAAGATGTAAATGCATCATTACACGGATTACGAAAATGACTTGAGTCATACAAACCGACATGCCTTCACTTCCTCCGGAAAATATTGCAAAGCACGGCTTTAATGATGAACATTAGCTATTTATCGAGAACTTGAATTGTTGGGTGTGTTATTTAAATAATATTTTGTCAAGAAGTTAATAAATTGTATCGAATGAGCAACGACAATAACGATAAAAAATAGTATTCAGCAAAATGGGCGTTTCGATTACCGTGGAAGCCATATCAAACGACGTATCGTAGTTGTGGATGTATTATTGTCCTTCCCCGGCACCTCCGATTAGCACGGTTGGCTGCGTACGGTGCAAAAGAAGTCCAACATACACACATATCGCGGCGAGCCTAGCAGGTACACACATTCCAGCATACCTTCGGAGTGACCCCTGAGGATGGCCTGGCACACTCCGCGCTCCGTGTCCCACAGTCGCAGGCTACAGTCCCAGGAGGCGCTGAGGGCCAGGAGTCCACACTGATGAAGGGCCTGCAAGTGACGGGGCAGTGGGCGAAGCTCAGAGTTGTTCAGCCCAAGCAGCGTCCTCCCACACATTTGACCTTTCTCGTATTGTTTCACGTATGCTATTGCATTGGAAGTGTGACTCACGATGACACTACGCTCAATCATTTTCTACGGCCAATCTCGCTGTAGTTCGTTTACAGCCCCGTCTCTCGTCTATTGAAAAATGTATGGCCATTGGTATCAGGTTGAGTCTCCTTCTGAATTTTAAGTAGGTAACTAATTGACTCACTGCCAGATACATTTGTGCAATGCAGGGCCACGATTCGACGCGAGAAGCTATTTCGGTGTTTATCTACTCGTCTGTATTGTTTGTTGTTTTGTCTTGCTTGCATATTTTTGATCACTCCATTAGCCTACATGGAGCATTAAGATACAATTTACATCTAATTTTCATCAAACGATTGTTACGGTCGTGTTGACCTCATTGCAACAGGATTACCCAGAATGCAATGTGCCAGAAATGTTTGATAATTTTAGTTTACATACAAATTACTTCACAGGCAGTCCTCGACTTACGAGCACCCACAATTACGAACACCCGCACTTAAAGCAGGTTCCATCATTTTTTTTTAACATTGACTTAAAACACGACCTCGCACTTGCAAACTGAACCACGGAACTATTTTGTTCAGCGGAGCGATCCTCCGCGAGATGTAACGAGTCAGCCTCGCGCTGCGAGTGAGTGTTTGTGTGTGTGTGTGCGCGCACACATATGTGTGAGTGTGAAAGTGAGTGTGTGTGGAGCGGTTGTGTCGCGGTTAGCGCGCTGCGCTTCGAAAGCGGGGACCCAAGTTCAATTCCCACTCACGGCCAACACCGGCGATGATTATCTGAACCGGCATGGTGTTGGCCTTTTGGCTTTCGAGGCCAGCATGGGATGGTATGAGATGGCCCCCACCTGTATCTCGTCTTCATGCCCACGCAGAATGTGCAAGCACCTGCCGCCTTTGACCGCCCACACGCGCACGGTCCTACACGCACACGTGCACACACATGCATGATCTGTGTGTGTGTGGGCATTTTTTGTTAGTAGGGGAGCAGTAGTGTAAATGTGAGCGCGCTGCGCTACGAAACCCGGGGACCCGAGTTCGATTCCCGCTCATTGTCAACTCCAGTGACGATTATCTGAACCGGTCCTGGGTTTCCCCTAGCTCGACTCAGCCTCAAATGCATACCTGGTGCGGTGTGTAAACATCTCCACTAGAAAAACAAAGGCGTGGTGCTGGCCACCCACCTCCTCGTGTGCCGTGCTGGCCTTCATAGGTGCTCGTGAACAGCCCTTGCCCCGACAGCCTGTTAAGCCTATACTGGGCATCTTTGTATTTGTGTACCATCATTAATGTACGTGTGTCATCACTAATGGTTATCAAGCGAGATGTATTGTCGATTCCCAGGGCCGTGGTGGCTTTGGGGAGGAGTTCATCCAGCAGTGGATTAATTTTGGCTGACAATTAATTGAAGGAAAAATACAAAGATCCCCCTTTGTAGCGATCACCAGACTCATTGGTTAAGTGAACAGCGGTGCAGAAGTTGCACGCAACATTATGAACCTGGCTCACATCAAGTGGTGACCCTGGGCATCATCCAGAGCGACACAGCCTTACATTAGTACCCAGTGTTTGTAAGCATCCACACTGGGGAGACAAAGGCGGCTGGGCATGCACGGTCCTGACCGCACTACGCCCTCATGCGCCGTGCCAGCCTATACATAGGTGGGTGCTAACAGCACTTGCCCCAATAGTCTGTATAGGCTACACCAGGATCTTTGTCTTTTTTTTATCCCATCATTAACCGAAGCCTTAATACAGCGAATGGCTAAAACCTTTTGTTGTTGTCGAGGCTGATTTGCAATTTCTACTCTCGCGTCGAAACAAAGCTTCCTTCAGTAATTCTTATGAAATATTCACGGAGGAATCAGTGCCGTAGCGTTTCCAGCCTCAGCCTACCGGTAAGATAACATCTGAAGGAATGGATACACTTTTAACTCTAGATCATCGACAATGATAACTCTCTACAATTACATTATGAGACCTCCTTTGCCAGTAGCAAGATAGAGTAATAGGTTTTTACCGATTTACTTGGCAACAAAACTGACACCTTTATACAAAAAACCCCTATTACTACTAACTCTCTACAACTTTGCGAAGTCAGAAACGCCCCCCCCCCCCCCCCCCCAATCACAGCGTCCGTCCATTCTCCCCGTCTCCCCAGACACCACTCTGCCGCACCACCTTGCCAGTGGCCGCATCTTCACTCGTTCCGACCCAAAGTTCCCCGTCCTCCTCTCTCAGCGCGGCGCTTTGCAGGCACTTTCACGTCTCCTCCGAGGACCTCCGCAATCGGAAATACTGTCCCTTTTACGCACAAAAATATCCCACTCACACCCTAGTGCCCACCATTACAACATTCACCGTTTAATAATTTTTTAGACTCAGAGAGACTTCCTGAACATTCATGGTCAAGGAATCTCTCCTTAAGGTCAAGATGTCATCTAAACTGCCCATTCTCTCCTCGTCAAAAAAAACAAAGGCAGTCACCGCCTCGCGCGCTTTCAGATGCGCTTCTGCGGCCGTCTGGAACGCTCTTCCTTTGGATATTAGGAAGCCACTGGAACTGTGCACTTTTAAATCATCATCTAGATTAACAACTAATTTCTGTAGAACTGCGTTTTGTGTTTAGTTTGTTGTTCTTCCCCCGCACCTCCGATGAGCGCGGTTGGCTACGTACGGTGCAAAAGAAATTCAACATACGTAGGCATATACATTGCTGGTGCCTCTTTGTTCACCAGATAAACCCGTCCCGTTATCGTGGATCCCACAGTCTGCCCACCTGCTTTCACCCGGCCATGCCGTCAGGGGGCCCTGCTTGGGCAGGTTCTGGACACAGGGCATGGAGGTCTCTGCGAGGCGAACCTCCACCCTTGGGGTTTTAGTGACAACCCACACCGCCACTGTGGCACTGTGCAAAAAACATTGTCGCGCGTTGTCGTCGATGATGATGATGACTGTCCACTGATTCGGTTCAGCGGAGGTCTACGGTGATTTCACATGGTCGACGGGGACGCTATCGCATGGCTCGGCGATTTACGCACGCGCTGAATGAACCACGACTCGAACGAACGTTGCGAAGCTAACCGCATTTGGCGAAGTTTCCCTTCGTCATCGTAGCAGGCAGATTTCACCCACCGAGCTGTACCGAGAGTGTCTCGGCCCGGCCCGGGATTTGTTTTCCAACAGCCGTGGAAACGCAGCAGCAGGCCATCGGCAGTGCCGGCACGGTGCTTTGCAAATAAGCGTTGCGTTCCCTTTTAAGCCAACCTTGCCACGTGCATCAAAGGCGAATGCTTCTTTTGTGACTTTGACAGCTAAAACTTTGATGTTCAAGCGCAATTGCACTCGTCTGCCGAGTCTATCGTAGTCCCTGAGCAGCAGGGCAGGGGATTTGCCAGGCGAGTGAGTTTCAGTATCTTCATGCTGCGATGTACTCACGCCACGCTTCAGACTTTTTGTATTGCACCTATTTTAGGATGCATCTATTTATAAACACGTGGCACATTGTCTGTTTTTTGCTAAAAGAAAACATGGTGTTTTGTTTTTTTGTAAAGTGCGGTTACGCCGTGTGGTTCTCCGTTGCGGTGTCGTGTTGTACACCGTGCTGTTCGCTCCACGCACTGAGGAGGCTGCCAAAATGTGGAGCGAAACATTGGACACAATCTGGAATGACATGCGGTACGATCCCGAAAACACATCGGGGAGCTGTGAACAACGCTCGTGAGAGTGAAATGCCCTTTTAGGCCATTTTACTTTGGAACATATAATTTGGGTCTAATTAGTGTGTAATTGCAGTGGCATCTCAGGAATGAGGATTATTTTGAACGTCCTTTCCAATAGATTGTGTTTGTTTTGCAGTCTTTCCCAAAAGCCCACAGAGATATGGCCAATAGTTTTTCCTGAGCTGTGTGGTAAGTTTCATAGCAACTGGGTTACCGATAGTTTTGGAATTGTTGTGAATATGAGATGGAACAGACGGATGGACAGAGAGATATAGAAGTTCATGAGCATATAAGCGAGTAAGAAACACCGAGAAATGCATGCTTGAAGAGAAACATTTGAAATTGAGAACGTACGCAGGTAGGTGTATGACATCATTCAAACTTAAGCAAAGTAAGGCGGGCTTGGGCAGGACACGGGGCCGGAAGAAACGAATCTGACGCTCAAGGATCATGACGGAGGGGCAGCAAGTGAATAGCGGAACCCGTATACATCCACCGGGGGAGACGGAGCGACTAAATCAGTTCGTGGGCAGGTGCTGGCTGGATAATTACATCGGAGGATTGTGAGAGATGGCGGCGACTTGGCGAGGCCTTTATCCAGCAGTGGATTGAACAAGGCTACTGCTGTTACTGCTGATGATGATATTGATCAGGCCATCAGTAGTGGTGAGATGTTAACTACCCTTCCCGGTATACAGGAGGTTGTGGGTTCGATCCTCACCCGGATGCCCGTATATATGTGGACTTGGCATGTTCTGCCCGTGGTCGCGTGTATTTTTCTCCGGGTCCTCCGGTATTTTATCTCCACATTCAGAAACATGCGTTTAGAGTATTTGACTGCTACTATAAATACCCGCGTGATAAGCCACTTCGTTGAGCTATAATTTGTGGCCAGGTCGCTTCTGAAAAAAGAGCCACATAGCTCAGTGGACCATAGATGTTAAAATAAAAAAGATGGTTTTAGTTAACTGGTGCGCGTGCTTCACCTGTCCGCACTCGCGCTCAGAAGTCTCGCTCCGTCGTAGCAGAGGTGATCGACGGCGGCCGAGTGGCCCATGAGGGCGCGCGTGCACTCGCCCGTGGCTGCACTGAAGACGCGGATGAGGGAGTCGGAGCAGCCCGTGAGCACCACCCCGGCCTGCACACGCGACACGCACGCGTCACCGTACGTGCCACGCCGGAGGGCGTTGGGGACGCACGCATGCCGGGTGATCGAGGATCCCACCGCCACTGCCGCCATCCCAGCCACCGAGAAGCAGTCACCTTCCTTACAACTGGAAAATAAAAATAATCTCTGAATGCAAAAAATGGTGGGACAACATCGTGTCTGGTAGGGCAACCCGGATTCGAAGACAATATTTTCAGGCGTGCCAGCTCAATGCTCTGGCGACCTCCGAACCACGTGGCCACGCACCTCTCTGTTCCCACTGTTCTTATTAGCGCAGAGAGTACCGTCAAATCGTATTTATCTGAGCTAATGGGAGGAAGCGGTGGGTGGGTAGGAGTGGATGGCACAGATGACACCAGACCACAGACGATGCAAATGCACGCCTCGTGTGTATTTGACCGAGGGCGCAGCAGCGCTTACCCTGACCCGCACGGCGTTGACGGCGTCCGTGTGCCGGGCGAGCACGTGCGCGCACTCCGAGGTGGCCACACGCCACACGCGCGCCGTGCCGTCCACGCTGCCGCTCACCAGCCACTCGCCTGTGGGCCAACGCGGAGCAGCGGGCCACCAAGTACCCTCGTCGTCATCATCGTCGTCGTCGTCATCATCATCGTCGTCATTGTCGTCGTCGTCATAATCGTCATCATCGTCATAATCGTCGTCATCTACATCATCGTCGTCGTCATCGTCATCATCGTCGTCGTCATCATCGACGTCATCGTCATCACCGTCGTCATCATCGTCGTCGTCGTCATCATCGTTGTCATCCGCATCATCGTCGTCGTCATCTTCATCATCGTCATCGTCGTAATAATTGGAGGCGCACTTTTAAATCATCTAGATTTGAAACTCATTGCTATAGAACTGCTGTTGGTGTTTAGTTTGTTGTCCTTCCCCGATTATCATGGTTGGCTATGTAAGGTGCGAAAGAAGTTCAAAAACACATACATATATACATAGCTGGTACCGTGGTCGGCATCATCATCATCGTCGTCATCATAACCAGAGGCGCACAGGGGAAGGGGGGGGAATGGGCTATTTCCACCCCCCGACACCCCCCACCCTTCCACCCCCCATCCACCCCGCCCGCGAAAAATATATTTAGACAGCCGTCACATGTCATGCACATTTTTTTTTTTGAATAAAATTACTGATGAGTCTTGGCGTACATTTAATTTTAGATACACTTAATATTCTAGAAAGTGCTCTTAGTAGGACACCTAGTGTATTAAGGCAGCCGATGGCGCATGTGTGAGTGGTTTTGTCCATCGCTCCCGTCACTTAGATATCCGTGTGTTTTTTTTATACCAAACTGCATGAGTTTATTATTTTAGGCTGAGTTGACCTCGGGCAAAGCCAGGCCACAGTCAGATATCAATTGCCACTGGTGTTGGCCATTGCTAGACATTAGTCGGATCACATTACAAACAGTCCCTGGGTCTCGGAAGACCCGATTTACGGAAATACGACCTTACGAAAAAGCTCCCATAAATCATGTAAAAAAAAATTAATGCGTGGAAATGTTTGCGTTAGTTATGTAAGCGCAAGAAGTGCAGCGCGGCGAGGTTGAGGATGAATACCGTGGAGCATTACGCCTCACTCTAGCTTCACTAGGATGAAGGTAAATTTGAATTCATCTTGATTTTAGGACAATTGTTCAGTTTCCGACATACGGAAAATTCGGGTTACGGATCGTTCTTGGGAACCTAACCCGTCCGTAACCCGGGGACTGCCTGTATAGTCTGGGTTGGCCACCTGGGAAATGTGTGTGCGCACGGTACACAACATCCAGTATATCTCTCGTTATGGCTGTGGCTACGAGTCACGTGCCTCCCCCCAATCTATAATCGCGACCAAGAAAATATCTGGTGAGAAATTAAGTGTGGAGAGTGCAGTTATAATCGCTTACGAATGCACACATTTCCTATTTCCGAAGCTCAGACCTGCAGCCAATAATAAAATGCGATTTGGATTGGCATAGCGGCTAATGCGACTGCATCTCAAGACACTATCAAATCCCTGGTGAGCAAATGAAATGTTCAATTTCATGCATACAATAATAAAAAAATAATAAATATTCCCCTTTCTATAATTAGCCTCATACATGTTTTATTTGCAAAGTCAACTCAGAGTCAATTCCTGCTCCAATGAGCATTGAGGGAGTGCTCATCTTCCGTTTACAGCCCTGAGTCAGTGGGGGAAATTCCACATTCCTATGGCTGGGGGGGGGGGGGGGAGCTTATCCAGAGAATAACCACTTGACTTCCTCACATTTTATATAAACTAAGAGTCCCCCAATCCCCAACCTGCACTATATTAGCTCGCAACCTTCTGATTGTGAGCTGCTCGCTCTACCGCTGAGCTAGCGGACCGGCTCCGCTTTATTTGCAGAGACCTCGCTCAATATTCACTCGCACCCAAGGCTAGCAGCTGACAAACTCCCATCGTCATTCTCTCTCTCTCTCCATTTATGTTTTATTAATTTGTGTGGAACCGAAATAACAGCCTCTGCCGAGTGAAAACTGCACTCCTCCTCCCCCTGCAGAGATGACAGCCCCAGCGACCCTCACTGCAAGTTCACAAAATGTACCCCAAAGAAAATCATTGTGGGATCATTTTACAAAAGCGAGAAAAAAACAAGGAAGAAAAATGATGTGTGCATGGATTTTATGATACGACCTAATGTGTGCTTGTCTTCGGATGTGTTTAGTTTTGTTCGAGAACATACACCGGTTAATGACATTATTAAAACTGTTAATTAAAGTATGCATCTTCTTGGTTCTTTCGGTAAAGTCACGTAGAAGGGAAGTAATAAAATAATAAAAATAAAACATAATAAAACAATTCTCACGACGTTTCGGCCACAACGCAAGCAGCCGTCCTCAGGTGAAAACCAGGTCCGTCGAGGCGACAGAGTCTGAATGAAACAGCACACGGGCTTAGAGCATATATATAAGCTGGGCGCATTGACAAAGGAATTTGCATATCAACAGGAATTTAGCATATTTATGGGAAATGCAGGAATGTAATTAGTACTGCATATGCATGTGCATTATGCAGGATTAACAGCATCAAAGGGAGCTGCAGTTACTGCTGCTGCAGCAGTTGCTGCTGCTGCTGCAGTTTCTGCTGCTGCTGCAGTTGCTGCTGCTGCTGCACTTGCTGCTGCTGCTGCACTTGCTGCTGCTGCTGCAGTTGCTGCCTTATCCATTTTAATATAACACTATGTATTATTCTACCCACCCTAATGTGTATCATAATAATACATAGTGTTATATTAAAATGGATAAGGCAGCAACTGCAGCAGCAGCAGCAAGTGCAGCAGCAGCAGCAAGTGCAGCAGCAGCAGCAAGTGCAGCAGCAGCAGCAAGTGCAGCAGCAGCAGCAACTGCAGCAGCAGCAGCAACTGCAGCAGCAGCAGAAACTGCAGCAGCAGCAGCAACTTCTGCAGCAGCAGTAACTGCAGCTCCCTTTGATGCAGTTAATCCTGTATAATGCACATGCATATGCAGTACTAATTACATTCCTGCATTTCCCATAAATATGCTAAATTCCTGTTGATATGCAAATTCCTTTGTCAATGCGCCCAGCTTATATATATGCTCTAAGCCCGTGTGCTGTTTCATTCAGACTCTGTCGCCTCGACGGACCTGGTTTTCACCTGAGGACGGCTGCTTGCGTTGTGGCCGAAACGTCGTGAGAATTGTTTTATTATGTTTTATTTTTATTATTTTATTACTTCCCTTCTACGTGACTTTACCGAAAGAACCAAGAAGATGAATCCCTGCAGTCACGAAAGCTTTAAATCGAAATTTAAAGTATGCATGTTGAACTTTTTTGCCCCGTACGTAGCCAAGCGTGCCCACGTGGCGATGGGCAGGACATGCCGCTATAAGTGACGATGGCAACATTGATAGTGATGGCCGGTGGTCAGGACTCACGTCGGGAGTGGAAGCCAAAACTAGCTCTAATATCACTTGTCACCGATGTTAGCCATGACCGAGACTCAAACTCTGGTCACATGGGTTACTGTACCATTATATGTATTGTAATGTTTGATTTACATACATAGATTCATACAGTCCCACGTTAACTACCGTTTCACCTCTGTGCAAACGTCGCAGCGCCGGAATCGGGGACCGTTCTGATATGGTTATGCACGCGGTGCTCTTAGTGCACCGTGATTTCTGTTATCCGGTCCGTTTGCCGATTCGCCTCGGGACTCAGACTGACGCCTCACCGCCCGCTCACTCTCACAACTCACGCTTGTAATGCCTGAATTTAGCAGCTGCATCGCACATATTCCCGCATGCGCCCTGAATAAATGAGCATCACCACAGCTCGGGTTGCCTCCCCTTCATGTACAAACCCCACCCCCCCCCCCCTAAAAACAACGCCATATCATGGGCAGAAGAATAATGTCGAACAATTGTGGAAGAGGGAAGAATTACATATACAGTACGTGGTATTGTCATGAGCATTGTATTATTACACAACTGATAAACACCAGGAATTTTAATGACCTGGGAAAACGTAGACATTTCCCAGGGCAGCTACACTCAAAAAGGGAATGATCCTGTGGAAACCAGGATAAGTGTCAACCTTATGCACAACGCAATCAATAACGCTTGCACGCATGTTGTTTCCCCCTTCACTTTTCACGGATTTTTCCGCCAGGAATTTGATCTGTGCTTGTGACGACAGATGGCGTGCCATTTGAATCTCATTATGGGGCCGTTAGGGTTGTGACGTTTGCTATTTCCGTTCATCGTGATGACGCTTTGCTGAAGAGTTTATCAACTTGTTTTTACTAGATTTAATTGATAAGTTGGCATCATGCCATGACTTTTAAAAAAAATCACCATTTGGCATGTGCATCGCCCTGTGTCAGAGAAAGCCCTCCTCAGAAGATGACCTCCTGGAATTATTTCTAAAATAATCATCTCTATGCACACTATAATAACATTAACTTATAACACACACAGTATCCGTTGCTCTCGAAGAGACAGCATGACTCAGAGGCACGAGGAGGAACCACAGATAAGCTGGAAGGCAGCCATGCTGTGGTCAGCCGGTGCCAATGATTGCCCAAACTTTTGTGGTCCTCCACTGTTATATATGAAGGTCAATTAATGAGTGTTTATATGTAGGTGAAAAACGGGGAACCTAGACAACACTCTATCCCATACAGGCTTTATAGGTGAGGTCCACATTTGCTGTGCTGCCTTTTCCTCGCGAGCCTCATCGACGCCCACGGGATGTGAATTTCAAAAAATGTGTGTGATACGCCAACCCTCGCTGCCTCCACAGTGCTGGATTACAGGCCGCGTGCGTAGCCACCCGGTTAAATGAAACTAAAATATATCTACAAGCCAAAAAATATTGTATTTGACCAAGTAACGCCCACTGAGCTATTTAGTTATTTTTCAGAAGCAACTGTCCATGTGGATATTTACTTCAGCCAAATACTCTAAACGAATGTTTCTAAAGGTGAGGGGAAAAACCGGAGGACCCGGAGAAAACCCACGTGATCACAGGGAGAACATGCAAACTCCAAATATACAGGCGTCAAGGTTGGGATAGAACCCACGGCCTCCTGTATACCAGGCGAGGCAGGCAGAAATGTGCCAGAATGAGGTGCGTATTGCGAGTGACTGCCTAGTTGGGGGACTGCAGGCAGCGGCGATTTTGAGACGAGTTCAAGGGTCCATCTCACCGTCGCAGTCGAGGCACGTGACGCGGTCGCCGTGCCCTCGGAGTGCGCGCTCCACCACGTACCGCCCGCGCGCCCAGTTGGCGCTCAGGTGAGCGGCGCGCGCGTGCACGCGCTTCCAGTGGCACGTGGGCACGAGCGAGCTTCTCCCCGTGTCGCGGATGCTGTGGTCTGTGTACGCGGGGCTGGTGCGGGCTGCAGTCATCACCACCACCACAACCAGGGATTCAATTCAACCGCGTCTGTCCAGAGTCGGCGATTCGGAAATTATTTCTGCACCCTTGCGCACCACGTCCAGTATACTACTCGCTACGGCTGATCATCGTCTGATTATTATCATCATCCATTCACAATTTGAAGGTACATTTTGTCTGCATGTAAAACAATTGTTTTATTTAAGTCCATCATCATGTATTCTGGAATAATGTCACCACCGCAACCAGGGATTAATTTCACCCAGCTGTGTGCGGTTCGGTGACCCATAACATAATTTACATCTGGCGAACCACAGCCAGAATATATACCTCTCAATGTGGTTGTGACTACCAGTTAAGTAGCCTATTGGAGTCGCCAAATGACTGGGTGGGAAATTAAACCCTGACCACAACCATTGTCATGCATCATTAATCGTCAGTGTTGCCAGTGCCATTGTGACTGCCCTCTGTGGGTTTGTCAATACGCCCATTGTTGTTCTTCACCCGCACCTCCGATGAGCACGGTTGGATACGTACGGTGCGAAAGAAGTTCAACATAAATGCATCATATGTTTATCATTCTAAGATTCATTAAACAGATTTACATTTTCTTAGGTTTTTTCGGTAAAGTCACGTAGGTAAAAAATAATAGAAATAAAATAGTAAATGAAAATAAATGTCTCTTATTTTTTACCTACCTGACTTTACCGAAAAAACCTGAGAGTATGAATCCTTGCAGTCACGAAAGCTTCAAATCTAGATTTACATTTATCTCTGCACGTCAAAATATAAAATTGCTTTAGTTCATCAGCCAATGTGCCTTTCGGACTAGGCGAGGATTGCTGACCAGATGCTATTTCAAGATACGGCCCTGTTCAACGCAAAAGCAATGTGCATGTACACATACAGTCCTTTGTCAATCCACTGCTGGATGAGGGTCTCCCCTCACCATGTGGGTCATACTTTAACCACGCTGGTTTGTGCCGGTTGGTTGAAGCAGGGAACGTTGGCACGGGGACATAGAATCACGGTGCAACAATATATTGCTGCCCCATGCTGCCCATAAAATTGCTAGCGTGTGATTACTCACTGTTGCGGACCATTACGGATAGTAAAATTAAAAAAATTTGAAACCGTTTTTATTCCGTGGGCTCATGGAGGCTGTGGGTGTGTCTGTGTGCACCTGTAGCTGAGCAGTGGGAGCGTTGGGTCTCAACGAGGAGTTGATCCGTGCCAAGGTGGAGCCATCCCCGTGCCGCACACAGCCTCTTCCTGTGTGGAGCAACACAGTAGTAACACGGACGTGGGAGTACGGAAGTACCCTACACCACCGAATTCTGCTGGTGGAAATCCATCCAACGACTGTCCAGAATGAATCCTGTTTAGCTACCGAGATATGATGAGATCGAGTGCATTCCACGTGATTCAGCCGTAGGTAGACGGCACAGTAGGTGTAAATAATTCATCCATCCAGCCCTGCAGCATCACATTGGATGCCCATCACATTCAAGATCAACGGTAAGATGGAACCTCCCAACCCAACCCAAACATATATTTATTCTATGGGTCTATCGGTAAAGCCACGGAGATAGAAAAATAATAAAAAAAAAACATCACGACTTTTCGATCGCAACACAAGCAATCGTCTTCAGGTGAGATTGCTGGTGTTGCGATCGAAACGTCGTGATATTTTTAAATTATTTTTCTATCTACGTGGCTTTACCAAAAGACACATAGAATATGTATTGCTGCAGTCAAGAAAGCTTTAAGTCAAGATCAAACGTATATTATATAGAATTAACATGGGCAGGATGTAAATGTACAACATAGAGTAACAGCAGAGTTGGGCGAGATCACCGAGCAAATGGGCACACACTCGACACAGCTTATATGGCCCCTCCAATCGGCCAGAAAATGATTTAAGTTGAGTGTGTAGTGGCCCTATTCTCGATTTGGGTTCGAATAGGAGTGTCACTTGACATTGATTAAACTGACTTTTTAAGTGGAGCAAGTTTATGGTCTCAGCCTAGTAACCAATGTCTGCACAAAAACGAATTGCCTTAAATTTGGCGTTTCACTTCATATCAGCCGTGAGAATTCAACAATTTTGTTTGACTGCTAAGCAGCAGGCTTTGTGGAAAGTCCTCGCCCTGTGTGGACAAAAGGTCACTTGAAGGTTTCTTAGAGGTAGTTCTATTACACCTGCTTCCGTGGGCGATTCTCAACAGACAGCACAAATGGAATCAAATTGGTCCAAAAAATATCAGTACCATTTGGTGAAACGGCACAACTTAGTGGAAAATATAAAGTATTTGGGTAAAGTAGGTTGCTTCACAAACAGTGGAATGTCCACTACAGGTCTGGTTGCCACCTGTCAGAGCCTTCCCAGAATGTGTCCCCTTTTGCTCTCCTGGGGAATCTGTAAATGTCCCTGGGTCATTAAAATTCTAGATTTCTTTGTCAATTGCATTATAACGGACCTCTTCCGGTTGTTTTGAGATACAGATCTGTATTCTTATGCCTGTGATGTGTCCCAGTATTTGTACCTCATGAACAGACATTCGCCATGGATACTCGTTTGACCGCTTGGACATGGGAAACACATTCACTTTGAGCTTTGCCTGGTTGACCCAAGACATCTGGAGTTGTGGACCTGGCTGCATCTAAAAGTCTCGCTCTTTACCTGGGAAGGATGGGGAGGGAGTGTAGAACCCACCAGAGAACGTCGCTGTTGGCCCGCTCTCTCCACACGCGGCTGCAGAGGGCCACGTGGCACAGATCGGAGGGTCCAAGCAGCGCCAGGACCCGTTCGGCCAGCTCGGCGGGCAGCAAGCGGACTGGGTCGACCAGGAGCAGCAGTCGGAGCGAAGCGAACGCCTCCCGCAGCTGCTGCGGCTATGTGGGACAGAGACGCGTGGCCTCCGCATCACTGGATATGATCGTGATGATGACGGCGACGATGTAATAATGATGGTAGGATGATAGAGTGAAGGTGTATGGAGCAGTGGTTGTGCAATAGGGGTGACAGTCGTTCAGTAATCCACGTATTTATTATTAGAATTTATTAGGATTTGAATTCGAGATGATTTGTTCGTACACCCCTTAGTTGCGTCAATCGATTATCTCGGGGCCCTCTTGAGCTACATGGGGCTCTGTGCTTTTGCTTGCTTTGCTTATAAGTTTAACATACACAGGCGTCAGGGTCGGAATCGAACCCACGACCTCCTGTATACCAGGCGAGGTAGTCAACATCTCGCCACTGTACACGTACACACACTAATTTATGTAGAACTGCTTTTTGTGTGTTTAGTTTGTTGTCCTTCCCCCACACCTCCGATTATCGCGTGGTGGACAACGTTACGGTGCGAAAGAAGTTCAACAAACAACGACCGCCGCTCGCCACTAAGTGGCGGTGACGTCCCCACGGCGCTTGTGCCAGGCTAGGTGCACCACTTTAAGGCCACGTGGAGTGTCGGACGCCCGCTGGCAGGTCAGGGGGCAGACCCAGCAGGTGCCATGGGTCGACTGACTGACTGAGATGACTGCTGGCCGATGCACCACCTGTGCCCCCCTATTACTGTGCAACACAAAGACAACAGTCCCCGCTACTACACACTGTAGGGGCAAGTGCTGTTAGATATACATACACACAGGCATACAGATATACATACAGATTTACATACAGATATACATGCACACACATACAGTACATACAGATATACATACACACATACAGACAGATATACATACACACACATACAGATATACATACACATACATACACACATACAGATATACATACAGACATACATGCACACACACACATACAGATTTACATACACACACATACAGATTTACATACAGATATACATGCACATACATACACACATACAGATATACATACAGACATACATGCACACACACACACATACAGATTTACATACACACACACATACAGATTAACATACATACATACATGCACACACATACAGTACATACAAATATACACACATATATACATACAGACATACAGATATACATACACACAGATATAAAGATAAAGATCCCCCATATAGCCTTAACAGACTGTAGGGGCAAGTGCTGTTAGCGAGCACCTATGAAGGCCAGAACGGTACACGAGGGGGTGGGTGGCCAGCACCACGCCCGACCGCCTTTGTCTCCCTAGTGGCGATATTTACACACCGCACCAGGTACTCATTTGAGGCTGAGTCAACACACAGACACACACACAGACACATACACACAGACACACACAGACACACACAGACACACACATACACAGACACACATACACACACACACACAGACATACACACAGACAGACAGACAGACACACATACACACACAGACACACACACAAACACACATACACAGACACACACATACACAGACACACACATACACACAGACACACATACACACAGACACACACAGACACACACACAAACACACATACACACACATACACAGACACACACATACACACAGACACACATACACACAGACACACACAGACACACACACACAGACACATACACACACACAGACATACACACCGACACACACACACCCCTAGCGCCTCTACCTCACCTGGCAGGTGAGGTAGAGGCGCGTGAGGGCGTCTCCCTGCCGCTTGGCAGGCAGCGACGAGAAGAGCGCCGCGATGTCGCGCAGCGTCTCGTCCACGCCACCCTGCTGCTGCTGCTCATGGGTCGTCATCTCTCCCTAGGCACAGGGCAGCGGGCACACCACCACCCACCACCACCAACAACCACCACCACCAACAACAACCACCACCACCTCCCGTGAGCGTCTCGATCCGTGTTGCCACGGCGACTCTGTGTGTGTGGGGAGCCCACGCGACGCGTCTCGTTCACCGCGTCGCACGAACAACGCTCGACTCACAAGTGGCGCACTTTGGCTCAAACGAGCACACGGTCTGCTCCAAAGGCGATGTACCCACAATGTAGGTTGCTTTGGTGGGAGAGGGGTGTGGGTGAGATCGCGTTAATATGAATGTGTCGTGAAACCTGCCACCACCCGACACAGTGGGTCTGTCACGTTAACAGAACGTGCCAATTAACGCGTTATCAGTACAGCAACAGCGGTGTGTTGGAGGGCAAAGCCACAACATTTACAATCTGAAGTAACACGCCGTGGGGCGGTCGTTTGAACATACTTCACCACGCTGGTCAGTGCGGGGGATTGTTGAAGGCTGAGTTGAGTTTTACCAGGTGAGAACTCATAATACCAAGACGGGTCCCATTTGCAAGAATCACTTGGGTCTCACAACAATGCCAAAAAGCTTAAAAAAATAGTAAAAACATAAACAACTACGACACGACAAATAAAAAATATCACACAAACATACATCAGTGTTAAATCAAAGTTAAATTAGACGCACAGTAAACAGGTTCGGGCATTATTTTTGTACTGACCATTGCAAAATTTTAAGATTTAGGGACAGCACAAAACACACGAGGACCGATATGGGTCTCGTTTGCGAGAGTGATGGTAACATCACCACGGGGTTGGTTCGTAGGCTCTCCTGCCGAAAACGTATAAATAACATGCCACATTTAGAACAAGAACAACAAACATTATCTTTGGCAAAATCTACAGCGATAGTAAAGACTCGCAACAATAGCATTCTCTACCCGCTACCCATCACAGCCAAGTGTGCACACAGAGCAATTTATCTTTGCTATTGAATTGCTCAGACAAGCGTGTAATGAATGCATTTGTGTGTTGTCTCTGAAATATTATGCTACGTACATCGCACGACTACTGCTGCTGGAAATATCCGCAATATATTGGGGAAATATCGTATTCTCTACATTATAAGACGTTCTGGAAATTAAGACTTGCAAACACAAAACCGTGTCATGTCAAAATGAGTTTTCATTTCCATCTTGTATAATTTGATGTTGCATTATGTCATTATGGTGACCTCCAGGTCACTCTTGCAAATGTGATTTATCCCAGGATTCTTGAGTTGTGTTTCCCTGTTTAAAACAAAATAGATCTTCCTAGAGTTGTACAAATATGGTTACACGCACCCTGAACTTTTTTATCTAAATTACAAAGGGAAATTTGTGCGTCTTAAAATCCGGAGGGTATGGCAATCGTTCAGAAGATTCAACTCGTCATGCTCGCCACGTGGAGAAAGAAATGATCTGACAAGAGGGATCTTGGCATACGTGATCATTGTTTAAACAACATCTGTATTATATTGATGAGCTGTGTCATTTCATTCATTTGATTTATACTTCGTAGATTGACTGTCGTTTTAAAATTGATGACCACAATGTAGAAGTGTCGTATGATGTAGACAAATACAATTTGATGTACGGTGGGCCTTCTGGAATAATAAAGACACATTGATGATTGTCAGCCCCTGTTGGCGATGAACGTTTATCGACGAAACTTTGCCACGTCCTGTCAGTGCGGGTTGATGATTCTGGTGGAGATGGTGCCGCACCTCCGATGAGCACGGTTGGCTACGTACGGTGCGAAAGAAGTCCATCATACAGCACACACACCCTGTGCCAGGACGAGCTCAAGTGTTATCACTCGCCACTGATGTTAGCCGTGCGTGGCCGGGAATCGAATTCAGGTGGGAGGACTTTGTGGTGCGGGGTGATCGCCACCTCTCCTCCAGCCCGGTGGCTGAGTGTGTGCTTATAAGAGCTTATATGAACATGAGTGTGTGCTTGTGTTGAATCAATGCTGCTGAAACGACGCACTCACAAGAATGCGGTGTGGTTGATGGGATGTGTTTAAAATATTTATACGTTTCCATATATTTTTTCACGTGGAGATACTATGGGTATGATGCGTATTTATTGTCCCATATATATTGTTAGGGGTGCCGTGGTGGCGAGATGTTAACGACCTCGCCTGGTATACAGGAGGTCGTGGGTTCGATCCTGACGCCTGCTGTATATTTGGAGTTTGCGTGTCTCTCTCTCCGTGGTCGCGTGAATTTTTCTCCGGGTCCTCCGGTTTTTCCCTCCACATTTCGAATCAACATCACGCATTTTAGAATATTTGGCTGCTATACGTTTCCACATTGCGCTATCATTCGTGGCCAGGTCGCTTCTGAAAAAAATAAGCTACATAGCTCTGTGAGCCTTAGCTGGTAAAACGAAGAAACCACAATCTTAATATTTTAATACATTCAGCAGTTAGACGTTGATGAGCAAGTGACACATTCCTATTTTATAACCGCGTCTGCAGGGACCCCTGGTGGACACGTCCCGCTAAAGCCACCACGCTGGTGAACATCCTGGGCATTGACCCAGGATGTTGATTCCGTGCCTGCCTGAGGACTCTGGGATGGTCTCATTGAAACGTTCAGCCGGCCCGTACACACACACACGCTGTATGGGCAGCCGCTAGCAGTTAGCGAGCACCTATTAAGGATACCGGAACGGAGCACGTGGGAGTGTGGGTTGTGGCCAGCACCAAGCCCGGCAGCCTTGGTGTTGTGATACGTTGACCTGGATTCGAACCCAGGTCACGTCAGCCACGTGTGAAAAGCGCAATGCCCCTGGCTGATCCAGCCGTGAATCATTGATACCTTCAGTGGGCTGTGATTTACAACGCTGCGGTTTGGGCTGTGGTGCCAGCCCATTCATCTTCACCGCCCTAAGCCAATGTCTATTCCACTGCTGGATGAATGCCCCTCTCACTGGCCCATGCTGCTTGCCCCCTCCATCTCAACTCCTGCACGCGGACCGATGCGATCGCTCCATCTCCGCTGCGGTGGTGCCTTCTTAGCTCCTGGATGCGTTGGTGATATCAACGCAAACTCCCGAAACTGAGCGTGGTACGGTACTGTAGAGTAAAACGTTACTAACCATTACGGAATAAGGTAGTCTGTGCATGTTGGGTAATTGCATAACTCTGTAAATGCACTTCTGGATGGAGACCTCTCCCACGCCACAGTGTTCGAGGTCAATGTGAGTTGTTTTGCCCATACTTCATCGCTGGTCAGTGTGTTTTTTAAACATAAATTGGGATTGCCCTAGACCGGTTCGGATATCGCTTGCCACTGATGTGAGCCGTGGACAGGAATCGAACCGAGTTGCCCACTGGGGTCAAGTAACGGTAGACATGTCCATAGAACTCTTAACAGTGTTCACGGTGATGATTAAACCGGCTGATAAGTTGAGGCCGATTTCGACTCGGCACTTTGTAAACATTGGCTCTGGCGCCTATATATGGTCACACGAGTCTTGCCTTATTATAGACACACACCACCACCACCAACAACAATAACCGGGAGGATAGTCACATCAGTGTTGTGCGAAGGCATGCCACGGGCAATTTATAAGTTGGGTCTGAAAATGTAAAGATTGCATGAATGTTGGCACCTCTCAGTCCTCTCTCTCCCTGTGGCCGTCGCCAAATTCTCTCCAGAGTTGGATTCCTGGATGATGGACAGGATGTCGTTAATACCACCGCTGCTCTGCTGTTTGCTGTCCGTGCTGGTGGTGGTGTATCGTGAGTATCTATTGGACACGCTGAGACTAGGAGGTGAGTGAACGTGATTGGGGAAGTGTGCGCACGTTTCATAAAACTTTAATTAATGTGGCGTTCACTTCGGCGCGATGGGGTCAGATATTGGCGGAAACCCGTTTGCTGTATTATGAATGTATGTAGAACTTATTTCGCACCGTACGTAGCCAACCATGCGAATCGGAGGTGCTGTCTCCAAGCTAGGATTCCCTTTAAAGAAGATACTCTGAGGCTGTGGTCTCATTGGGTGCTTAGCTGGACGTGAATCAGCATGGTTTATCCTGGCATGGGTGACCAAGCAGGGCTTCATATTCTTGGTTCTTTCGGTAAAGTCACGTAGAAGGGAAATAATAAAATTATAATAAAATATTATTTCCCTTCCACGTGACTTTACCGAAAGAAGCAAGAATATGAAGCCCTGCTTGGTCACGAAAGCTTTAAATCAAAATTCAAGCAGGGCTTGCCAGGTGTTATAGGCATGGGGCTACGATGTGGCAGGGATATAGTAATGCTGAGTGTCACCCCCTCGTATATGCGGTGGGGTTTCTCTGGGTCGTCTGATTGTAAATGGTAATTGTTTAACTATAAGATACTCGTGAATTTAACCCGCTGCTGTCTTTCATTATGGATGAATAATTTTTAATTCGCAAAGTCCAAATTTCTTAGCCCAGACTCATTACAGTTATGCACAGGCACTGATACAATGTTTGGTTGTATGGGTTGTTACTCATTGTGTTTTGTGGTCGTTACAGAAATGCAGCTGAGTGTCTTTCGCTTTTAAGACAATTCCATGCGATTCTGAAATATTATCGCCAGCCATTATCACGCCACTGCTGTATGAAGGTTCTTTCCCAGACATTATTTTGTTTGGCTGCCATTACATGACCCGTCCCATCTGTTGACTCCTACCCCTTCCAATGATGTGTCCTGCATGTACGTACCTACGCATGTTGAACTTCTTTCGTACTGTACGTAGTCCTGCCCAAGCCAAATTGCAGTTACTCACAGTGTATATGACATCTCTGATTTGTGTTTGTCTCATGTGCAATTCTGTCTTATTGTGATGCCAAGTGTGCAAATATTTTTCCGTGGTTCTTTGCTCACTTTTCAAGTTTTTTCTTTTTTCTCTGTCATTGTCCATGTCCCTGACCCATATGCCGTAGCTGACATTATGAACCGATTGAAAATATTATTGTTTAAAATTTAAGTTTTCCAAACGCTCGATCTTGCTCTTGTTCACCTCTGATGTTTCATTGTGGATTCAAACCACATTCAATGTTTGCCCTGACATTGTATACACATTCTCCTGTGTTTTACACTTGCGTCCCTCCAATAATGATTTTATTTTGTTGGGTAAACTTATTTTTCCATCACTTTCATTTTGCCCGTATTGATCTTGTGCCCAAATGTGGTCTTTTTCTGTTTAGGATGGTGATGTCATCGGCAGATCTGACATGGAGTTTCTTAAGCATTCAAAAAACACTTTTAAAGTGATTCCCAAGTTGTTGTAAATGCATTGTTTCGGTATTTTATACAGGATCGCTGATGTTGAACTGGAATTTTCCAACTTAACATCGCGTTTACGGAACTTGTGTTGAATTATGCCATGCCAATTGAGGTGACACGTTTACGTTTGGAAAATTTATGCCGCTGACTTATTTGTATACACTGTACTGTACCTACACTTGTGCATAAATGGCCAGTGCATGCCTACTGCTCACCTCATAAAAAATGTCTGCGAATGTAACGGTAGCATAGCATCGTGTCACTTGGGATAACGATCAGCGAGGTATTGTGGTTCATTTGTGGCGAGCACTTTGTGTGTGTAATGAATATTGTACGATATATATTGTAGTATCCCCATATCGAGGCAAAGCCAGGCCTCAAGCGGTATTTGCGCCGACTGACGGACAAGTGGTTGCAGGATCACGAGTGGGATCGGTGGCGGTTGGTCGCTACGAGCTGGTGGTCGCCATCCTCTCCGCGAGGGACAACTGGGTGCTCAGGCAGGCTGTGCGTGACTCCTGGCTGCAGGCCGTGACGGCCAGCCCCTCGCTGAGGAAGCGGTGAGTGTGGCCAGCTCCTTTTCAATTGCCGTGGGTCAAAAGGCAGTAAAGTCGGTGCAGGTGGCTGGGTTTAAGTTTCAGCTTATTTTGATTTGTTACATGGATGATCGCGTTTTGCAGAGTTGCCCGGCTATTGTACAAGGGAGATGCGTGGTGCTTGAGCACAACAACAATAAAAATAAAGACAGAAACATCAGTACGGTATTGCAGAGAACGAGTACAAGGAATAATGGGGCATCACGGTGGCGAGATGTTAACTACCTCGCCTGTATGCACGAGGTTGTGGGTTCAGTCCTGACCCTGTGGTCTGTATATTTAGAGTTTGCATGTTCTCACCATGGTCGTGTGGATTTTTCTTCGGATCCTCTTCCCTCCACATTTAGAATCAACATGCATTTAAAGTGGTTGCTATAAATGTCCACGTGATAAGCCACTTCGTTGAGCTATCATTTGTGGCCATGGTCACTTCTGAAAAGAGCTATATAGCTCAATTGGCCTTACCTGGAAAAATAAAAAAAAAGTTACAATGTCGCTCAGGGGTTGGATGACTGAGCTGGCACTGCCGAGATCCCGAGTTCAAATCTGGAAAATGTGTACGCAATACAGGAAATGTAATAACCAGAATATTTAGAAGAACGGTGTTGTCCCATCTGTTTCTAGACAAGAGGCAAAGCAGTGGCAGCAGCAGCAGTGGTGGAGGTGCGGTAGTCATGTGGTTGTGTGCGGTAGGGTCCTGCCGAGGTTTGTGGTCGGAAGCCACGCATGTGACATTCACCCTGAAGACAGAGAGGACCCATACTCCTGCTCTTTACTCAACATCACTCTGCCTGGTGAGCTCCGACAAACTTACATCGCTCCGACAAACTTACATGGCTCTGACAAACTTACATCGCTCCGACAAACTTACATCGCTCCGACAAACTTACATCGCTCCACTTAAAAGTCAAAAGGTTGCTTTCTGGAGGTCATCAGGTGGCCCAGAGGTCAAGGCCTTGAACTTGCACCTCTGAGATCCTGGCTTTAAAATCCAGCCAGTCGCTTGTGATTAAAACTGCCTTCTCAAATCTAGTGAGTTGATGGTGTCAGCCTGGTCATCCATTACTGCACGAAATAAGCCATCGTATTCGAGCAGCACGTTAAATGCGATAAGCATTGCCCACTGTGTTCAGAGCGGGTAGGCAAGTGCTGCCCCTTTCTGTGTGGACCAGGGGATTTCAGAGGTAGCTCTGTGTTATCTTTTTTCTTTGGGCCATTCTCTAGCACCAATGATTGCACTCCTCTATGAAAGATGCGAATGGATTCTTTATCTCATTACATCGATAGCACAATAAAAATACAATTGGCAAAAAGTACAATTATTTTAATGTGAGTTTTATTCCTTTAGCCAATGGGTTCTATCATTCTAATGTTGTTTTGCTTGTTTTATCTCTTATGCCTACTGTCTTCATTGTGCTTGTTTTCCGTGATTGCTTTTGTCATATTTGTGACACAGGTCACTCTTTTAAATGAGACTCTCCTGGTCTCTTGATGTCTCAGCAGATTGAACAACAAAAACTTTATATCACACAGGTTCGGTAGGATAGTACATTTGTATATGGTTGCTGCTGCGGGTGTGTTGACCATAGAATATGCGCCGTCGCCTTCACAGTGGATAGTACATGTGTCCCCTGGCATCTTTCGAAATGAGAAGGCCATTGTGTGCTGGCGTCATGGTCCGCAATTGCCGAATTAAAAAACAACTCCCCGCAAATGGCCCAATTGGGATTACACACGCAGCAGAAATGTATCGCCCCCCCTATTAGCAGAGTAATGCCCGTTTGCAGATCAAGATGCTGAGTTACCTTGCACCCGCAAGGGCAGCTGCCACTGAGGGTGCCCTTTCCATAGTTTTAATAAGTATTTTCATAGTTAAAATTTGTTGAGATGAGATTTGATGTAACTTGCATATAATGTGTACAACACCTTGAGGTGCCCCGGTGTAGAGGGCACAACAGAAAAAGAAAACTATGATTAATTGCTATTATTATAATTGCTATTATTAATATTCACGTTTTCAACGTGTTTTTTTCACCCCGTCCCACGACCAGCGAGCGAGCGGGAAATCGAGGCGGTGACTTGGCTGGAACCGGGGTCGGCGTCGCCGGGGCCCGGGCCCCGGACTCGCGTGGCGCGGCCAACGTTGCTGGGGCTCGACTTCCGGGTTCGCCACCCAGTGGTGGTGACGGCACTCGGTGTGTTCGCCTGGGACGGCACCGTCCCCAACGTCACCGTGCGGCTCCACAACGCGGCCACCAGGGTGACTGCTGCCATTGCCACCACCTCCGCCGCCACTACTGCCTCTGCCGCCACCACCACTGCCGCCACCACCACCACCTCCGCCGCCGCCACCACCACCACTTCCGCCGCCACTACCGCCTCTGCCGCCACCACCACTGCCACCACCGCCACCACCACAACCTCCGCCGCCACTACCGCCGCCGCCACCACCGTAATCTTAATTTGGACTGGAAGTACAGAAAAGCACAAGCGTAATTCAGTACGAATCTTATATCGGCGTCAACCGTCATATATTTATATTGTATCTTGAAATATGAAATCGTTGAAGTTGTTGTGGTGACAGCCACCCAGTGAACGTACCACATTCGACAAACGTTCGCATGTGGTCGGAACGTTTGCCCAAGGGTGCCATGTTTACTAGGCAGTCATTATTTTGTACCTTGTCGAAATTACAGATCAAACTATTCTTTACCCGAGCGTTTTTTTTTTTTCTCCGGTCAGCAATGACCTCGAGCGGACGACGACCGATCATGGAGCCCGACGATGGCCACGGCTGCTGGCCCGCCGTCATAGATCAAAGCGCGACTACTGACTGCGTGACAAAGACGGAGTCAACGGGCCTCAGTGAAAGGCGCAGTCGCAGGCCAACGGTCGTGTCCGTCTGTTCTCAGGTGGTGCTGGCCGTGGCTCACTTCGGAGCCCTGAGCCCCGGCGTGCGCGTGCGAGCCTGCAGGTACAAGCCCGTGCAGCAGTTCGTGCTCCCCAAGGTGAACGTCATTGCGCTCGTTCACCCATGAGCTTTGTGACTTTGTTTTTTTGCAGAGTCGGGGGGGGGGGTGGGGGGGCAATTGTTGCTGTGTACGATCCCCAATTGAGTAATTTTTGGATAGGTTTTAAAAAATATATAGACTGTGACGCTGACGCACAATGGCCTGCTCCTTTGAACGACGTCACGGGATGTTTAACGTCCGCTGTGGAGCAGATGCCACGGCTAACACACCCGCAGTAGTAACCAGATACAAATGTACTATCCTATCGTACCTATGGGATATCAGTTTTTTTTATTGTTTTAATCAGCTGAGATCTCAAGAGACGACTGATAGTCCCATTTACAAGAGTGACCTGTATCACACATGTGACAAAAGCAATCGCATAAAACAAGTACACTGAAGACAGTCGGCATGAAAGCAAACGCAAGCAAAACTAACATTAGTATGGTAGAACCTAAAGGAATATAACGTGCATTAAAATAATTGTTTTTTTCCCCAATTTCATTTCAATTGTGCTATCCGTGTCATGTAATCAGATAAAGAATTCATTCACGTCTCTCATAGAGCTATGCAATCTTTGGTGATAGAGAACGGCCCAGTAATAACCAGGGCGGCCACTGATTTTGAAGAGGATAATAATAATTATTAGAAGTACTTAAGAGTCTATATAAATTCGCATTTCAGGCACGAATTTGTAATCCACCGCTGTGAAGGCAAGGTTTAGGGGATCAAACTAATGTGAAGCGTCAATTTTTGTGGGTATTGAGGTGCCGTACCCTCGACTAATCTCCATCTGTTCCATCTGTATGGGATAGTGTTCCCCCCTTGCATGCATGGGTTTTCTCTGGTGCATCCACATGTAAAAAAACTCAATAATTGGCTGAAAATATTTTAACATATATAGAGGACTTCAGAGCTTGGGCATAAAGCCTTGCTGCCTCCCCGCTTGCCTGTGACCACGTGTGATGTGCAGGGCTTCGAGGGCACAGTGGTGTGGGACGGGGTCACCCCGGCGGACATCGTGCTCTCTGACCCCGGCGACTACACGCTGGACGCGGGAGGGGGCGTTCTGAAATTCGCAGCGGTGTGCTCGCGCAGTCCCCCGCTCCCGATGTAACACTGCCCGGCTCGTTCATCTCAACTCACGTGGCTATCTTGTGATGTCGAGAGCGCCGCGTCCGCGTCCATGCATCGTAGCAAAAGGTTGTGTCCGCGAAGGCAAAGGACCGGGGAAGATTGTGGCTGCGTTATCTCGTGTGCGCGGCCAGATCGACTCGACCGCGTTAAACAAAGCGTGACCATCGATAACGCCGTGTTGCTGCATATATTTATAAGGGCCAGCTTTAATGAACTCCGGAAGAGCTTCTTAATCAAGTGCCCACTTTGTTCAATGTGTTTACGCAGGGTAACTAGCGGACTGCGCACAGCCGCCGTGTTTATCTTGGGCCACCCGATATTGAGTGGACGGATCGATCGATCGATTAATTAATTAACGAGTGGGTGTATTTACGAATGTGCTGTTCAGACGGGGCGGTACGGAGAGGTGGGGGACGAGTTCCCGGAGTTCAGACAGGAGCGGGCGGCACTCGCGGGGTCCTTCACCTTCGCCGTTCAAGGTTAGCGGCAGAGACGCCGTCGGGGTGGGGGTGGGGGGAGAGGCGGGGGGGGGGTGTGGGGGGAGAGGCGGGGGGGGGTGTGGGGGGAGAGGCGGGGGGGGGGTGTGGGGGGAGAGACGGGGTTTTTTTCGATAAAATATGACGTTTATAAATGTTTGTTTATTAAAAATGTTATCCTTTAATTTTTCAAAGTAATTTTTTGTTAAATAAACGGCAATTATTATCAACCTTCGCAGTTGATAAAAAAAACAAAAAACTTTTCACTCGGTAAAACAGTGGTCACCTACACATGGACTGGCCTCCACTTGGGGAACGTGGAATTTCCGCCACTGGCTCAGTGCAGCCAGCGAGTTCGAGCGCAGCCCCATCGCCCGATTGAGCGAGGCGCCACTCGGACTCATCATTCGCCATTTCTCTCCGCGTCTCTCTCCGTGTGCCGCATTTCGCCGGCTTGTACGTCCAACCCTCCCGCCCTCACCCGGCCCCTCGTCCAGACGGCGGCTCGCTCGCCACCCACGCCTCCGGCCGGGCGCGCCGGCGTGCTGAGTGGGCCGAGACGGCGCGCCGGGAGGCGGCCGCCCTGCGCGACGAGTCGGCGCGTCACGGCGATCTCGTCCTGGTGAACGTCACCGACGTCTACCGCAGCCTGCCCAGCAAGATGCTGCTCTTCTCCCGCTGGTGGGCGGTGCGCGCCGCTCCTCCGTCAACGCTCATCCGCGCGTCGTTATCCACCCCCCTCGTCATCCATCCCCTTGTCATCCCTTGTCTGTATCGTTGAATGGATTGACCATGGCTGATGATGATTTATTATTTCATTATTACTTCTCTTTTAGGAGGGTCCTGCCAAGGTCTTACATGGGGGTGGGGGGTGGGTGGCATGTTGCCGTGTGTGATCCCAATTGAGTAATTTGCAGGTACTTTTTCAAGCCATTGGGATGTTTGGCCAATACCAATGTCACAATGTGTGATTGACGCGATGGCAGCAGCAGCAGCAGCAGCACAAGTGGAATGTCGTTGATCGCGTTAACGACTCTTGTTGCCCATTGCGCACAGCGCTAGGACGAGTGACCTCTTATAACGCCACACGTGGTTCTCATTGTTCCAGGGCAGCAGCATCTCTGGACTTCAGGCTGCTGCTGAAGACGGATGACGACAGCTTTGTGGACGTGGCGGAGGTGCTGAGGAGTGCGGTGCTTCAGGGCTACGACCAGACCCCGGGCCTCTGGTGGGGCAGGTAATGGCAGCTCACCCCACCACCCAACTCAACTCACCCCACCACCCAACTAAGCTCACCCCACCACCCAACTCAACTCACCCCACCACCCAACTCAACTCACCCCACCACCCAACTCAGCTCACCCCACCACCCAACTCAACTCACCCCACCACCCAACTCAGCTCACCCCACCACCCAACTCAACTCACCCCACCACCCAACTCAACTCACCCCACCACCCAACTCAACTCACCCACCACCCAACTCAACTCACCCCACCACCCAACTCAACTCACCCCACCACCCAACTCAGCTCACCCCACCACCCAACTCAACTCACCCCACTACCCAACTCAGCTCACCCCACCACCCAACTCAACTCACCCCACCACCCAACTCAACTCACCCCATCACCCAACTCAACTCACCCAACCACCCAACTCAGCTCACCCCACCACCCAACTCAACTCACCTCACCACCCAACTCAGCTCACCCCACCACCCAACTCAGCTCACCCCACCACCCAACTCAACTCACCCCACCACCCAACTCAACTCACCCCACCACCAAACTCAGCTCACCCCACCACCCAACTCAGCTCACCCCACCACCCAACTCAACTCACCCCACCACCCAACTCAGCTCACCCCACCATCCAACTCAACTCACCCCACCACCCAACTCAGCTCACCCCACCACCCAACTCAACTCACCCCACCACCCAACTCAGCTCACCCCACCACCCAACTCAGCTCACCCCACCACCCAACTCAACTCACCCAACCACCCAACTCAGCTCACCCCACCACCCAACTCAACTCACCCCACCACCCAACTCAGCTCACCCCACCACCCAACTCAACTCACCCCACCACCCAACTCAACTCACCCCACCACCCAACTCAACTCACCCCGCCACCCAACTCAACTCACCCCACCACCCAACTCAACTCACCCCACCACCCAACTCAGCTCACCCCACCACCCAACTCAGCTCACCCCACCACCCAACTCCGGCGGTGACAGCGCCAACTTGCTTTGAGGTACATACGTAATGAGTTATTCATTAATTGTCATTTTTTATTCATGACGAATACTAAAAGATAGTTTTATGATATCACGGCCAACTAATAATGGAGGAGGCAACTGCTCCTTATAACTACCCCCCCTCTCTGTAAACTCATTGAATAGTTTATTTTATGAATGCAGAACCCTATTTAGAAATCTTCACATATCAGGACCCCTGCCTCCCAGGGAAGCTTCTAGATCCACCTCTGCCCCATGCACCTTTGGTTGCCTGCAACCAGAATTGCCAATGCCACACCGTCCGGTGGTTGCACCGGCGATTTTACAACAACGACGACGACGACTACGACTGTGACGACGACGAGAGCATTCGCTCTGGACGATCGCTCGCTCACTCGCTCGCTCGGCCCGCCGCACGCTCGGCAGCTTCCGTCGGAACTGGGCGGTCGACCACGCGGGGAAGTGGGCCGAGCTGAGCTACCCGGGCCCGGCGTACCCGGCCTTCGCGTGCGGCGCGGCGTACGTGCTGTCCGCCGACCTCGTGCGGTGGCTCTCCTCCAACTCCGACGTCCTCGCCGCCTACCAGGTGTGCGCCCCCCCCCCCCCCCGCCCCCATCTTGGCTGCTAGAAATTTCCACGTGATAAGCCTCTTCGAACTTCTTTCGCACCGTACGTAGCCAAGAGGTATCATTTGCGATAGCCAAGTCGCTTCTGAAAAAAAGAGCTATACAGCTCAGTGGACCTCACCTGGTAAAATAGAATTAAAAGTAGTTTTAGTTGACGTCGATTCTACATGTGGAAGATAAAAACCGGAGGACCCGGAAAAAATGCCACGCGACCACGGGGAGAACATGCAAACTCCAAATATACAGGTGTCAGGGATGGAGCCCACGACCTCCTGCATACCAGGCGAGGTAGTTAACATCACGCCACCGTGGCGTCTTGCGGAGGGCTCACTGTTCCGCCGAGTATGGTGGCCTCGGCGCCGGGCAATCCGGAGCTCTGGTGAATGCTACCAAGCGTCCCAGTCTGGTCGGGAGAGTCCCGGTTGGTTTCAGAAAGTATTTTATTATTTTTCTATCTACGTGACTTTTCCGAAAGACCCAAAGGGTATGAATTCCTGCAGTCACGAAAGCTTTAAGTAAAAATTTACCCCTTAATCGTTTGCGAAAATCAGGATTTTATCCGGGTTTAAGCATTTCTGGCCTCATGCTCGACTCATGATAATGGATGACGTTGGTGGAGGAGTAGACGGGGGCCTATGAGCAGGAGGTGTATAATCTATGGAAACCTATAATCCTTATGTAACAGATATAACTTTTCTGATGAGACTCCGAAAGTCGAAACCAGCCCCAGGTTTGTCTTATTTAAACAAATTCTGCTGGAAGACGTTCGTCCGGAAGTCCCATGATAGGCTGATTTATTAAGTGATTTTATTTGAATGTGCAGAAACATGGTCATTGTCTATTTATTATCAAAAATGATAAGCCAGAGTTGAAAAAAAAGTGCATTAGTTGCGAATGATACCTGATGCATTTTGTTGAGACTTGTAGTGTTGTGTAATTTACAAGCACAACAAAGCAAGCTGCTTCTTTTAAAAAAAATATAATTTCAAGTTGGACACATTCAAGGTCAAGAGGTCATCATGGCCAATGCCAAATGATGCCACCTCACCTCGCCATCGGTTCTGTTTGCTGGATGCCATATTTCTCGTGAAGTCGACACCCCGACCTTCAAGTCCTTCTCCCCACAGTCTCCCAACGGGTGGCCTCAGCTCTTCCCTGTGGTCATAGACCTGTGGGTGCTTCTCCAATGGCCGTCACAGTAACCTGCCCTCCAAAGACAAAGATCCCCCGTATAGCCCGAACAGACTGCTGGGGCAAGTGCCGTTAGCGAGCACCTATGAAGGTCGGCATGGCGCCTTTGTCTTCCCAGTGGTGATTTATACACACCGCACCAGGTACTTTTTTGAGGCTGAGTCGACCTTGGGGGAGGCCATGATATAATCGTCACTGGTGCTGGCCGTGAGCGGGAATCTAACTCGGGTGGCCGGGTTCGTAGTGCAGCGTGATAACCGCTACACTCCACTGCCCTCGTCCACCCTGCACAGTGTCCCACCCATGACAACCTCCTTTTCCTGATTACGTCTACAGCACTTTCCACATTCTCATTATGAGCTTCCAAGTTGCTTTACCCAAGCCTTTCCATAGAATTCTTGTTTTCAAATTCCAGGTTCATTTTCTGCTAAGCGATAACGAGTACATTGTGTTAATTGGGTGAATGGCGCGTGCACGTACAGGGTGAAGATGTTTCCATGGGCATATGGATGGCAGCTTTGGCACCAACTAGGATACAGGTAAATAGTGTTTACACAGAGAGTGTACAAGCAAATGGACAGAATTCTCTCATGCCACTAACGTCGCCATCTGTGCCAGGTTTCCAGGATCATCTTCGTGTAAAGGTAGCTGCCATGGGAATTCTGTGAGTCTTCCCGGGATACTATAAAAGTCCCGGATTTTGTCAGTTGTGTAATAACACCACCTCTCAAGACAATGACTTGACATGCAGTTCTCCTCTCGTCTCAATTGTTTGTGCTTCAAAGGTAGCAGCGCTATACGCCACTTATTGTAAGAAAAGATATATGTGAAAGCATCTGTGTTAACATAGACCTCCCCCCGCACCTCCGATTAGCACAGTTGGTTGCGTATGGTGTGAAAGAAGTTCAACACACATACATGAGAACCAAAAAACATATCCTGACAGAGATGTATTGCAAATGATAATGGATCCATTGTCTTTTGAAAATGTTTATTAAAGTTAAATATTTTCTTTGCAAAAGTATCACAGCATGCACACGATTGTATGTAAAGTTTCGTTGAAAGCATTGTGCTCCCGAGTTATTACAAAATGAAATAAGTTATGGATTCTGATGATTAATGAGAGGATTGCGTAACAAAACTAGACGACTCAATGTGAAGGACACGTTTAAACAAATCGGCAACAGCGTGGAACTCATCCCTGTAGGCAGCCCCGAGTCCACGGTGGAAACTCCACGTTGCATTCTCACGTTCAACAAATAAATTGCCGCTCGTTGTCGTGCTGCCCTGCAGGACGACCGCTGGTGGTGCGACGCGGCCTGCGAGCGCGGTGCCCTCGCATCCTCGCAGCACTCGCCAGCGCGGCTCGCCACCATGTGGGCGGCAAAGCAGCGCTGCGGTGACGCGTGCACGCCATGCGATGCGCCGGACGTCTAGGACGCCGGGCGCTCGTTTACCCCCCCTCGATCACCCTCCCTCGCTCACCCTCCCTCGCTCTCTTCGCTCGCCCTCGTTCGCTCACCCTCCCTCCCCCTCCTCGCTCGCCCTCGCTCGAACCGGGCCCACTCGTACGGGACTCCCGCCAGCGTCTCTGCAACTCGCACGCATTTGTGCAGCGTCCGATTGCGACTGCTGTTCAGAACTGTGGGCTGGGACAGGACCTGGGCAGGACTCGCCGCTTGAAGGGGGCGATGGTCCGAGGTCGAGAATAATCACCGAGCGGCAGACGAAGGTGGGGAAAGCGCCCGAGAGGACGTTGACCGCGGAGGCGGAGTGACGGGATCGCCTCCTCGAGTGCAGGCGCCGGGCGGATTGTTGCATTGCGGCACAGTAAAGAATGGCGGCGACTTGCGGAGGCCGTTATCCAGCAGTGGATCGATTACAGCCCAGTGATGATGATAATGAATGCGACTGCATCTCTGAATGTTGCTGTGCAAATTAGGTGCAACGTGTGAAGAAAGTAGATCGGCAAAAAAGTATTTTTTAGAAGATACGGTTAAGCAGGGCAGGGAAGTGAGATGATGGCACGCTGGAGTGCGACTGAAGACATTTCATCGAGAAGAAACGGATGTTCGCCGGCTGTACAGGAAAGGAAAATGTGAAGTCTGGATGCGAACAAGGAAAGGATCTTAGCAGTGCGAATTACTTGAGCAAGATATTTCCAGACCATGAAGAAACTTGTGGAAAAGGAGTGATCTCCCATTGAGCGGTTGACTGCAAGCTGATGCGTCCGTTTAGATTGCACGTTCGCATGGAACGGCTTATGTGGAGCCTTGCCAAACCATTTTCATGGACTTCAGAAGCCCGAGCAGGTTACCAACCACCACTGTGGCACCGAGCCGGAGAAATTCACTGACGAGAACAAGAAGAACTTGTATTGAACTTGGCATGAGCCAAAAATGAATTCCCCGGCCAGAGCACCTATGCTGTTCTGTTATCGATCCTGCCCACGACATCCATTACGTAAAGTGAATGAAAGAGAAGTACAGCTGATAGCTCGTAAAAAAGTGGCCGTGAGATACGATCCGTCACCAACAGCCGAGTAGTAGTACGCAGGCCCAATTCCGCCAGCTTTTCTCTTGGTGATTAAAATATGTATAAACGTAAAAGACGAATAGCTAATGAAGCAGGACTTTGAAACAAGTTTTTATTGATTAAAACGACAAATATTGGAACCAAAAACAACTATAAAAGTCAAACTAATAAAATAGCTTTGTGTGGCCTAGTGAATGTTGTGTAGTGAGAGTGCCGCGTGCCACGAGCAGTATTAGTGAGTGGCAGCCGTTGTGTCGTCGGTGTCGTAGGATGAGTGGTTGTGTCGAGCAGCGGCTCTCGGAGTGTGCTCCCTGGGCCAGCGGTGGTCCGCGATGGCTGTGATGCAATTGCACGTTGATCAGAAAATAATAAAATAACTCATTCATATTTTACCCATATTTAATTTCAAAATGTAGTTTGGTAAATGACCCTGATTAAACTACCAGAACATCAAAATGCCCCTCCCCCTAAAAAAAACTCCTTGTAGCCGGTAATATGAATCATTTAGTATTAGTGGTATTTAGAGAGCTAAGTGAAATGCGTTTTGTCACCAGGGGTGCGGGGGGCTGGGTGGTGGTCCGTGGAGAAGTTTGCATCGGCTGAGTGTCTCACGGGTGGAGAGCGAGCGTGCGAGAAATGTTTAACGAGTAGCGAGTGTTGTATTGTGTGGAATAAAAATTGTGGGTGGGGAGGGAGGGAGCGGACTAAAGCAGGACTTTTGATTTAAAGCTTTCGTGACTGCAGGGAATCATATTCTTGGTTCATTCGGTAAAGTCACGTAGAAGGGAAATAATAAAATTATATAAATATAAAACAATAAAAAATGATCACGTTTCGACTACAACACAAGCAATCATCATCAGGTGTGAAATCCACAGCAAGAAAATTTGAAAAAAATAAAATTCTTGCTGTGGATTTCACACCTGATGATGATTGCTTGTGTTGCAGTCGAAACGTCGTGAGAATTTTTTGTTTTATATTTATATTATTTTATTATTTCCCTTCTACGTGACTTTACCGAAAGAACCAAGAATATAAAGCAGGACTGTTTAAAACTAAAACTGACCGAAAAAAAATTTAAACAAAATCCCATCAGGTGGCAGCCAAACCGCGCCCGCGTCCTCTCGGGCAACCATAGCCACCTCCCTGCAGACCAGTGGGTGCTCGATCAATGAAGTGTTTTGAAGTGCCAAACTCTGCTTAAGGATGGGTGTTCCTAACCAACTAAATGCCTCTTTACGTTGTGCATCCTATCGCCCTATCTACCGAGTCCTCGCGACAATATTTACATTATCAGACAATATTTACATTATCACCACACCAGGATAAAAACAATTGTGTTATATCAGCAGAATGATTGCAAAATAAAACAACACAGGATCATTTAATGTATCCTTTATTTCTCATGCACAAACGTATAAGTTATCTGTAATTTGAGTGTTCACAAGTATTGGCGTCACAGGATTTTATTGTGACATTGTTTACCGACAATTTTTCTTCTCGTAAAAATCTACCACGGTAACCTTGATATTATACGTCATTGTGGTCTAAGGAAAATATTTTCAAGAGAAACGTTGCCATATATCACCTTGAGTGCTACCGAATTGTAGTGTGAAGTGAAAGGTGACGTTTTTGCAACAACAGTTTTAGTACCATTTAGCAGAACTGATAATAAAGACGATGGGAATAATGAAGATGACTGTTGATGATTTTATCACCGTTACCAGCGGACCACCAGGTTGTCTCCATCCTCGATAGAGTAAAATCTGAGTGGCCGAAGATCATTGTCCAATTCAAACTCCTGCCCCTCCATCTGAATCCGCGCAGAAAGAACAAACGTTATCATTAAACATTGCCGTAGCTAATATATAAAGCCACTGTCAATTGGACAAAGCCAGGGTACAGTCAAACAATCAATTCGTGTCTATAATGTGCACGTGCGCGTATAGTCCTTGTGTGATCCACTGCTGGATGAGGGCCTCCACAGACCGTGCAGGTTGTGGGGATGACTTGAGCATACTTCACCAAGCTGGTGAGTACGGGTTGGTGAAGGTGGGCAGCATAGACATGAGAGCACAGAAGTACAGTACAGCAATGGACTGCCCTGTGCTGCCCTGCGACGTAGCTGCGACGCCTGTTTTATCCACCATAACCTCCGTGTCAAAACTGTCGCCTTAATTATCGATCACGATAAAAGTAGATTTACAACCCTAATCCGGGCGTAGAAAGCGGTAGGGGAAATAAGTCACTCACCTTGTGGCTCGTGTATGTCAGCACCAGGTCCGACGCCTGCACCTTCAACAGCCTGCACAGCATTCCTTTAAGCTTCTGTACCGTCATCGAGTCTGCATGGAGTGGTTATCATTGCTCGTTATCATCGTCAGCATCACCAGTGGAATAGTCAAGGCATATCAATAAGGCAATGTATTTATTCCAACGTTGGGTTATGTTTGCAGTGTTTGTTTCGCATTCTTGTATGTGCGCTATAATGGGATCCTAGTCGTCTTCGTACGATGGACAGTTGACCAGCAACAATTGTGTGTTCAAGGTGAGGTTGATGAGGGAGCCAGTGGGTGGTTTCAGGAACATTCTGCTGAATATCTGAAACGCTTTCCACATACGATCTAAGCGCCGGCAGTCGTGTTACTGCACGGTCTATGGTTTGAGATATACTCATAGATAGATGTATATAGAGACCCATAGACTCACACAGACGACTCACTAACCTGATGAACATCTGATATGCTGCAAAGTGAATCATTCAAGTAGGTAGTTGCTTCTTATGTGGTCCACAGTTTGCGATTAGTAACCGCAGCCCCATTGTGGACCATTCTTTTGTTTGTCAGCATTTTTTATTGGTTTTTCAAGAACCCAGAATACAGTGGGAACATCAAAAGCCATTGGGGACTATTCTTAATTGCTCATCATTGGTGTAATAGATCGCTGCTTCTGCCTTGCCATGTTCTGATGTGATTCAGTAAAAGACCAGAGATTCAAGTAAACTGGATTCACTAGGTCTACTTATCCTAAACAGAGTATCCAGAGAGGACTTTCACTTTTGACTTGGGTCCTGGTCATGATGGTTGACTACTCAAGTCTTATTACTCTTGCATGAAGGTTAAGTAAATCATTCTTGAAAGGTAAACAGTAATTGCACCTTGCATTGCTTTAGTTCACGCACGTTCCAAATACTTGTCCTCGCAGTGATGGCTATGGGAGAGTGTCAGTGGCACTGCGTTGCGCAGACACAAGCGGCCACAACAGACAAATCATTTCCGACCCCACAAAGGGAACCCACTGGCTTCGATCTGGCTCGAAAAAAAATGGGAGCCATACACAAATGCATGAAGGCATCACATGGGCCTCTGCACCCATCTCATGCACCAAGTGCAAAAAAAAAATCTCCAATTGCGACTGCTGCTCCACGTCGCACACCGAGGACCACGTCCTCAACCACTGCCACACAACATCGTGCAGCGGAGGAGAGGAGCTACACACGGCCTCCATAAATGCCAGAATTCGGCTCAATCGACTGGACCTCGATATCTAAATTGCATTTTGACGACTTACATTCAGTCACGCGCGATAAAAATAAGCGGCAGGTGTACTTACTTGGCAGTTTTTTCTCTACAGTCTTGTGGTTCGCGAGGTCGGGGCATGTGATGTTAATTGCTGCAAATGACAAAACGACAAAGATCCCCTATACAGCCTTTATACCAGACTGTTAGAGCAAGTGCTATTAGCGAGCACTGATGATCAGCACTTTGAGAGGGAGTGGGTGGCCAACACCACGCCCGTTAGCCTTTGTCTCCCTAGTGGCGATGTTGACACACCGCACCAGGTATTAATTTGAGGCTGAGTCGACCTAGGGGAGGCCCAGGACCAGTTCAGATCATTGTCACTGGTGTTGGCCGTGAGTGGGAATCGAACTCGGTTCGCCAGGTTCGTAGCGCGGCGCGCGACCGTTCCTCTTACACACACACACCCGGGTAAGTCGACCCACATTGCACAAGTGCATACATATATTTTACGTGTTCAAATATTAGTACAGACCCCATATTCTTTGGCTAAAATACGACATATACTTGGTAAACTAGATGTTGATAAGATATACATAATGTTTAATTGTTCTTACGTTTTAATAGGATATACAGATCGAATAATAAAAAATATA